ATCAGTTATGATTAGAGCACAGTTGAATGAGATCAATTATCATTGGGTCAACCATACCGTAATTGGAGGATTGCTTGTGCACAAATCGTATACTGGAACTCCTATCAATTTCTATAAACCGTGACCTTCACTCATTGCTCCGGAAACGAGTTGACGTAACCCTTCACCTTATTCATATCGTATAGTTGTACATATATTTGCCCGACGAAGAATAGTAGACTAATTGTCCAGTAATGCAATGAGCTAGTCAGAAAAGGTAACAGAATGAGAGTTTTGTAGATGAAAGAAGTAAATTGAAAAAGATGTTTATTAGTTAATTAAGAAAACGAAATGAAAACAACAAAAATGAATAAAACTTATTGCCGTTCCATTGATGGAACTGATAGCGTTTCTCTATTACTTTATCGACATCCGATAATAGCTCATCTTAAATATCACAACTTAAAAAGATATGTGTAAATATAAATTATAAATTATGCAACAAACATGTTGACTAGTAATGTATGCACATGAACCGTTAACACAGTAAGTGGGAACTTGGGTAAGGAACGAAATATATAACTTAAGAAACACTTTTCAAAGATCAAACAGAGCTTTGGAAAGCTGTCGTCATGTTCAGCCATTAAATTATCTTATTTTCTTCTCTTTATCACTTTTGACAAGTGCTATAAACCTATGCCAGCTTGAAACAGTTGACGGGGATTGCTCATACGTCTTAGTCGATCCATGAACGGAGACGTTCCCCTCCCCACATTGCCCCTCGTAATGCCAGACGCTGCCTGAAGATTCGAATATGAATGAATAGAATGCATTGATAAGATTATACCTGTATAAGTCGGAGTCTGTGTCTATAGTTGTTTGCCCGTACATGGTCATTGAGTACTTGTTGAATATATGATGAGGGGAACCATCCTCCCACGTTGTCTCGACATCTTTCTCCGTAGTACCATCCTGAATAGAAAAGAGTCAATATGATAGTTCGTTGATATAGAAACTAGAAAAGCTGCAAGAGGAAAGTGCTGGATAAAATCACTGTACATGATATAACAGGGTGAGGAGGGTGCTGCCCAAGAAGTACATGCTGTAGAAGCCAAACAGGGGGGACGTGCAGTAAACCAAATTTAAGAACAGAATAATCCGTGTAGAGACAAATAAAAGTAGAAAGACCACGTGAACGTTGAACAAAGGAAGGTGCTGACAAAATACAAGGCGTTCCAAACATTCTTTGCATTGTCTCAGTGTTAAGACATGCGGCACAAAGGTTGATAAGCTGACAAGTCAGATTCTAGACATTACTCATGATGGCATGCATATCGTCATGAAAAACGTCATCATCTTCCTCATCGTCAAACACATCTGCATCAACACCATCATCGTCACTTGTATTACCGTCAGGCATTTTGCGAAGAATATTGATCATATCGCCGACTTGAAGATTCAACTCATCGTCCTGAGATTTGGCATATGGATGAACTACGATGCATTGAGGGCAATCCCACTCTGGATACACCTTCTCTTCGGGGTTGGATGACTGAAAAAGGGAAAACGTGTGTTAGCAGTTAGAACAAATTAGGAAGAGAAGTTTCGGAGTTTGAGCTTGCATTATCGGCTGTCAAGCCTCTGCGTATGGGGATATCGTTTGAGAAAGTAAAAAACACCAAAAATGATTAGCGAAACCGAAAACATTAAATTAGAAAATCAGGGATAGAACGTTAAACCAAAGGCCACCACTCATGATTTTACAAATCAAACCCAATGGCTATTAGAAAATGAATGACTTAAAAGCTTACCGTAGGTGGTCTTATAGCAGAAAGCCATCGTTCCCGGTCAGTTTCTGATTCAGCATTGAGGAGAAGCTCAGTTTGTTTTCCTCGTGCATTCCTCATTAGAACGCAGAGGAAAAGATGAGGTCGGGTAGCTAATGACGAAATGACGCCAGGAGGTATTCTTGGATTATCAGGCTCTATAGGTTCTATATCAACATACGGCCTGCTGGCATAGTCTTTACAAACATAAGTTCCATTTCTGAAATGAGAGATTCCAATTTGGAGATAATATATAGCTTCTTACATTTTTTTCTTGGTTATCATTATTATATCAGAAAACAGAAACACGTGAATACTTCGAGCTTTTTGCCTTCCTTGTAGGAGGCCTTTCGTTCGACGTTCAACCAATTGAGTCAGCGTACCACGCTTCACCAAATGACGACTATTAGATACAAGAGGGATTCGTCTGAAATATAATTTGATAAGCTCGTCTCAGTCAGCAACCATACTTGAGATCGGGGTCTTTGTAAACGAGTCGTTTATCGACTTCTAGAAGTTGTTCAGTGCGTTCCATACGACGTGCACCTTCATTACATTCTCGAACAACCTGAAGATGGCTACTGAGCAACAGTCTCAAATGAGATTTCTAACCTTATTAGCGAGTAGTAAGCCTTTCGAAACAGTTTTGTATCTATCAGCTTCCGTATTGACACGATCGATGATGGCATAGAGTAACAAGGGATACCTAGAGCAGTTAATGAGAACAAGTCCTTTATCTAAATCGTACCTTGTTATCCTTTGCATCGGCAACATGAGGAATGATCTCATATCTAAACCTTGGCATTGACGATCAGCTTCTAAACGAGATACAGAAGTGAGGAAGCCATGATTTTCAGTTTTGAGACGACGTAAAGTTCTATCCTGATACACCTGAACGAATGCTCTATGAGGATGATTGGACATCTTTGAAATCTCACCTGATTCGAGCAATACTTAATATACACATCGAAATGTTTTTCGAAATGTTCGACTAAAATATCACAAATGTCATCGAGAACTAAATTTTCCTCGAGTCTCGTTTCCAAATCACATAGCAGTCTGAAGAAGGTGGATGAAAATAGAAACTACACCATACACAATAATACTTTTCACTACAATCACGAACAGCGAAGATGTTACTGAAGAGATGTTTCCTGTCAGCATTTGAAATGACTGAAGATGGACTCTTTGAACCTACAACATACGACATGAAGTACATTCATTTGATAACAGAGAGGATATACCAAGCATTTCTTGACTGGCCATAAAGTGGGTAATGAGGATGTTAAGAGAACGAAGATAACTGGCTTCCGAAGTTATTACTTCGAAGTATGCTTCTTGGAGCAGTTTTGTGTCTTCATCCAAAGTTTCCAGGAGACCAGCCGATTTGACTTCAGCCAATTCACACCATAAGCTTCTTTGACTGCCAAAATGACTTCCAGCGACGAGTCGCTCTCTTCTCATAGAAGTGTTTGAAGTTAAGGCTGAAGCAGATGTACTGCAGTCAGCTCCACGTCCACTGTCAGATGACACGGATGATTCTCTACGACTCTAAAACATTATAGTAAGAGTTATCTATATGATGTCAAATTACCTTCATGGGAGCTTCCCCAACTTCAATGGTGGCTCGATCCACAACTACTGATGGTTCGGGTAATATAGCATCATCAACCAACTTTTCCTGTTCTCCCAGCATATACAACTGATAGAGAGGTGGTTCAATTGGTAAGCGACTTGTATATTGTTGTCCATAGCTATATTCAGGAGATGAATCGTCCTACAAAGATGTTTGAATTGAAAAAAAAGGAATAATGATGTACCAGTGCATCATGATGATCTTCTAAAGACATCTTCTCAATGGGTAGCTCATCAGGTCTTGTCAATGGTTCAGCAGTAGCATAAATACCTTCTGAAAGAATGTGTGTAAAGAGTGTGCAAAGTTGGAAACAATTAATAATACCGTTATTCATTGTATTAGGAAACGTTTTATTCAGATGTTCCTCTATTTCTTTATACATTGAAGAGCGCTGATCATCGAAAACTTCGTCTGGAAATATCAACCTTATCGAGGCTCATATTATTTTTTCGTTTAAAGAATTAACGAAATGAATACATCGAATTTGCCATAAAAAATTTAACAGCGAATGGAGAACGAAGTTTCATGGAATATCCATGCATAGAGAGAGAGAGAGGGGGGGGGGGGGGAGAAGGGAAGAATGAAAGAGAGAGTGAGAGAGAGAAACCAAACTCTATACCAAATGACTAATTGCTACCAATGCTTTCGTACTATTTCTTCTGACGAACAGAGGAATGAAGAAAGATGAATAAGAATGAAAAACATAATACAATTGTATTTGCTAAAGTGTTTGTTTCATAGGTAGACAGAGAGAGAGATAGAGAGAGAGAGAGAGAGGTAGTAGCAGAGAGAGAGAGAGAGAGAAAGGAAGTACAGGCCACACCTTAGAACATCATGCTTTTTAACTCAAAAAAATTAATTCAAAATTGAAATAGTTGCTGCCAGGAATAGTAAAGTGTATGGTGTGGGTGGGGGTGGGAGGTGGAGGAGAAGAAAACAAAAAACGTCTCAAACTTTGCAAAAGAAACAAAAAAAGAAATGAAATGTAGTCAAATAGTAATTACATGGAAGATGTGCCGTATACAACTATGTTTTGTTTTCTAAATTGAAAGCAAACTGAAAAGCATTTGACAGATTGTTCTTTGCTATGTGCAAATCGAAAAATAGCTACTTTCTAATGCAAGCTTTAAATCTTCTTCTCTCCTGACTCCCCCTCTCCTCCCTCACTCCTTAAACGAGATTATTGGTGGATGGATAGAGAGATTGAGGGAAGGAGGGAAATCTACACTTTATAAACTATTAGAAAGGCTTTCATACGATAGCGCTTTAAAGGCAAAAGCGACGTTGCGCATTCGAATGTTTTGTTTTCGCCAAAACAACCTTCTAGCAGCCGTAAGATATTGCAAGACAGAGAGAGAGAGAGAGAGAGAGAGTGAGAAACAGAAAGAGAGAATCTTTGAACTGATGAATGCAAAAGAAATAGATTGTATATGGAAAACTATACTATATAGGCAGCTTCTACGTTCTACCTATTTCCAGACTGTATCTCGGATGAGTAGAGATAACGTTGATTGCGTATTAGGAAGAGAGAGAGAGAGAGATAGTATGTGTTGTTCGCGCTTCAGCAGTAATCTAATTATGATATCTGGCAGTTTTCAAATATCATTTTTCATAATTTATGCTCATGAATATGTGAAAACTGCCAATTTCAAGCTTGTATGTGTGAATAGGAAATGTTGTTTTACAGAAATAGAATTAGATCTATGGATAGAGTATGTATATGTATAAGGTAAGTTTCAAAGCTGAGGCTTATTAAGTTGAAGACATATAAATGTTAATACCTTCATCGCTGCTCCAATCATCTCCATAGATGTAGCGATCATCGTCTGTTGTTTGATAAGATGGGTCATGATGTGCTGAAGACGTCATGACATTGTCTTCAGAAGGTAATCGAGATTTATTGCTGTGTCTTGGACGTCTATCTCCCACTTTCTGACGCAACTGGTCCATCTGAATACATAAGAGTACATCGGTCAGACCAACAAGGAAGCAAGAGAAACAAAAAAAAAACGGAAAAAACCTTCTTCTATGACAAAACACAAACGCCAAACGTCATGTGGTTGGATGTGAAATCAATTGTGTATGTATTACCTTTTTGGATAAATTCAGTTGAATGTCACTTTTGAACTTGATTAGTTTGTCAAATTCGATCGTACTTACAGGTCGTCGAGACTTTTTGGGGCTGAAACAAGAAAATGTGAAGTTCAAGCATTATGATGAGAATTGATCATTCAAAATAGAAAATATGGAAGTAGAAGGAAGTAAAGCCAATGAACATAAAGTAACATATGGTTAAGCTAGAGATAACACATGGATAGAGTATGTTAGTTATATGTATATATAGTTGATAGAACACTGAAGCATCACTAACCGTGCCATTGTAGCAAAATGTATTCGTTGTTGATCATTATGATTTTTAGATGATACATTACGATGTATATCGTTATCATCATATGCATGTACGGACATTTGTGAAGAGAAACGACGAGGACATGTAGCTGAGCCGTTAGTTATGATATTACCCATTGATGTGGATGTGATATCAAGCATAGGATAGCTTGCACATGATGTACATGTACATGTGGCTGCATGTGAACTGAAATGTTAACAGAAACATAAAACGTTAGGAAATAACTATGCTATAGGACAAGAGAGTTGTCACACACACACACACACAGATACACAGCAAACACAACTACGAAACATACAGTAACAAACATAAAACTGTTAAATGATAAAACTATTACCTTGAACTGTCTTCACATACAATGTTCGTTACATAATTGTAATTGGATGATGAATTTGCATCCGTATTTACAGAATAGCCAGATGATGAGAGAGAGCGTGACGTTGTCGATGTTGATGGCTCCATCAAAAGCTGATTCTATAGTATAGTCAATTCAATATATGATAACTATTTATTTCGTTTTTTTTACCTGCTTAGCAAATTCTTCTGTTCCAATTTCTTCATAACATTGAGAATCGTCGCTGTACTCGTGACTTGGCGTCTTGGGAGGAGAAATAGAAGGAACGCTGGAAACAAGTTAATAACAAAAAAAAAGAAGTAATATATATGATATGAATGTGATGAGAAAAACAAATATGATAACCTCTAACCAAGTCTTTAATCTTCTATCAAGAACGTACCGAGGGATGTCTTTCGTTTGACGACGCTGTTCAAAGCGAACTGGCTTCTTTGGTGGTATGGTCGGTACAATATGTGGCATTTGCTGATAATTCTCGTCATCTGATGAATTCGATAACCTGTTAAGATAGAATGATATACAATAACTGTAATACTATTATGGCATACTTGGGCAATGGTCGAGCTTTTGGAGTTGATGTTGCCATCTGATGGACAGTGCCTGGAGCTCGATAGCTTGGAATACGTTGTAGGCGCTCACGTGAAGGTGGTTTCGGCGGAGCAGGTGGAGGACATCTGGGTCTGTTCAATGATCTAAACAAGAATATATCAGTTTCATTCGAGGAAATCGTTGCGATTAAATAATTACAAATGAATTAAGAACATAAACATACGTTGTCTTAGAGGGAACCGTCAACATAATATTCACGGAACCGGAACTGTCCGGTTGCACTGGTGGCTGTCTGTCGTCTGATGATACGGTTTGAAGTTCCTGTGTTAGCTCGCTTGTTGTTGAACACGAAGATGCTGGTTGTGGCGATGAGAGTAGACGAGCCGGCTTGGCCGGTGGCTGTGGTTTAACTCCTCGCAAACTATAATAACATAACCATAATGGAATACGCTGATGAAATCAATAAGAGCTCAGAGTAAGATAGAGATATGTTTATCCTTCAAAATATTCAACAAGACTCATACAGTAGAACTCACCGCGGTGTAGGAAGAGGAGTTGGCCTTTTCTCTACTTCGACCGACAATCGTGATGGTCGAACGTATGACTTTTCAATAACCGAATTGTTGTTTGATGACTCGCACGCGGTAGATTGCGGAAAATTGGAACTGTTACTCTTCTTTAATGAACAATCTCCTGAAATGATTGCAAATATTTAATTGAAAATCGATGAGAAGACGTAGGAAGAGATGGACAAGCTATAGAGAACTGGTCGTCGGCTAGCGGATGTGGTCAATATAAAACATATGAATGTTTACAAGTAGTTTACTCAATTTACAATGAAAGATGGAAAAGAGGATAGCTTAAGATTTGCTAACCAGCAAATATCCAAGCTTATAAGTATTATAGAGAAAACAATGAATATGAACCGTTTCTCTTGAATGAAATATCAAGTGAACGTGTTATGATCGTGTGGTGGTGAGGGGGGGGGGGGGGGGTTGGGCTATTGCTGCGGTGGCGTTGTGTGTTCTCACGCAGAAAAATGAAATAGAACGTTTAGAAGACGTGTGTTGTGTGTTAGATGATTTTCTTTGACAGTTGCACATAGCGCCTACGCAAAAATCCGGAAGCTTTTCCAAGACAATATTTTATGAGGAGAAATGAAAAATGTGTGATTGAACGACGTCAAAAAACTGTTGCCGGTGGCTCTTTTTGGACACAAAATTGAAAACAGGAAATTGACATAAGGAAGAAGAAGAGAATATGAGCGAGAATAGCCTAGAGCAGGTATTTGCTTTGAAATATGTTTTGTAATAAAGAGAAAAAAAAAGAATGACCAAAAAAAGAAATTTCTCTCTACAATTACATGATAGATATGAAGTATGAAGAAGTGAGTGAGAGAAAGAGAGAGAAAGAGGGAGAGAGTGATAGTTGAATGAGAGAAGAAGAAGAAGAAGAGGAAAGGGAATTCTTTAATGTTTGAAAGGCTACGGGAGTGACCACCATATATGAAGTGTAGATTATATAAATAAATAAAAGATATTTTCGACAAAGATGACAACTGAAAATGCATTTTGTGAACAAGCACTAGCGCAATATGATAAGTTAATGACAAACAAAAAACAAAAATGATGGCAGAAAAGCAGGAAAAGAGAGAAAGAAGTAGAAGAAGACGAAGTAGAAGTTGAAGAAGAAGTAAAGTAACTAACGTCGTATTAAATTCAGATCTTGAGTACTGGATGAACGTCGCTTTAGTGAGCTCTTCTTCCGTACGATTCCAACACGAACTGGTGCTTGACTGTAAAAAGATGAACATTATATAATATTTTCTATATTAACTATATATGATATAATATACTGATTGATAAAGTATACTCATGATAGAGATGGCATTAGATTTCGAAATGAAGAGATAACATTTGAATGTTGAAAAGGGAGAGTAACAGTAGAGAAGATACTTCTATAGGTACGTAGAGGGGGGGGGGGTTGTATATATGTAATGGATTAGCAATCAAGATTTTACAAAATCCATGGCAACTGGCTAACGAACTAGTTAGGGTAGTTACACACACTGGTCAACGAATAGGTTAATCTCGCCAGATCGATAGAATTTCAAGGGACAAATGAGAGAACAGGTATATACTCTACTAGATTGTTATAGGCTACTATCTGAATTGGAACGATAGAAGTCAATTATGATGATGACAATGATGACGCGAAAAAAAGAAGAAGGAGAAACGAAGTTGTTGACCATTAAACTATTACGGAATGCTTAAAGCTTTAACTCAAATGAGTAAGAACAGACGCCTACGCATGCAGAGAAGGACAGGACAAAGGTTCGAACATAGAATACAAAAAATGGAGAAAAGCATTGTATATAACTGTCTGTGTCTGGAATGAGAAATACAAAATGACCATCTGAGGATAATCCTTTACATTCATTGGAATATCCTCAAAACTCAATTTGTTCTATTTTCAATCATTCAAAAACGATTGATGGAGAGGAAGGAAGGAATCTCAATGGTGAAAGATAGAGCGTACATTATCGAAATTAGAACATCCATATTGAAGTAGTTAAACTAACCTTGATTTATATGTTAGAGCACTTTCACTCATTCGGAATTTTCCAATTCTTTTCGTTGGCACAGGGCGAGGCTTATCATATTGTGATGAAGCTGGTTCGAAGCTGCAACAATAACATAACAATAAGGTGAAGCTGCTTGTTTTTTTGTTTCAAAGTAAGAATGCAACCGCTAATGCGTACGGCATTGAATGAACAAGAGAAGCTTGATCAATCAAGCAATTCTTTGCTAGGGGAGGTTCAAATTGAGGAAAAAGCTGAACAATTCCATTTGGGCTAGTTTGAATCAAAGAAGCTTCAAAAATGTTTAATGATAAAGCTAACGAACCGTCGAGCTAAGTCGCGGACACGAAAGCTGGAGCATGTTGTTGTACTGCAACCAGGTTCGGTTTGGAGTAAATCGACGTTGTTCATCAATAGCTAGACACTATAACCAGCTGTTCGTAGTGTTTCGTTGTCGCTTGTACTGAAGGGCTTTGGCAAGGCAGTGGAGCCGGCCGTGCGTCTTCAAGCACTATTTAACTGCAAAGAAAATAGTAGTTATAATGAATAAAAAAACATAGTAAAGAAAACAATTAGTTGTAAGAGAATATGAAAGAGCGTATACAATCAGTGGCACATCAATCAGATGGGGATTGACTTAACACTATGTTGATAATTGATGTGTATTGATAGGCTAAGTTACAATATGAAGAAAACATGTAGAAGCAACACAATTTGACCATCGCAACCAAAAAGCTCTGACTACGGAACCGGGCATGAGCGATTAGGTTGACGGGTGAAGACCATCGTCCGTTCTCGACTTGTTTTGGCTCCCTGCTTCTGATCGACATGATCTGTGCAAAGAGCTAGACAATCATCTTCGTCATTCTTATCATGCTCTTACCCATGAAAAAAGTTTTTTTTTCTCTTTCTTAAAAAAATTCGAAACACGGAACAGGTAGTATTCTCAAATTGGTCAGAAATCGTAAACTAACAGCTACAGCAGGCGAAAAGCCGATCAAAAAAAAATTGTTCGCAACATGTCAAAGCAGATAGAATGATAATGAAGAAAGCTGTCTAACTATATCAAGTTGATAGATGATGATCATGATACAATTCAAATTCTATATGTATCTTCATGTACTACATGCCAATGACAACTTGATGGTCGAAAGAGAGAACACTTCTTCTTCTTCACTGCATGTAGTAAGCTTTGATTGAACCGCTTCAGTGTATGACTATCCTTATATATAGAATATAAGAATATGGATGCTTACACCACCACATATCAAGACAAACTAGAAACTAACTGGAATTTCAACATTTTTCTTAAAAAATTATTTTTTAACCTTGATGATATTCATGAAGAGGTTTGTCTCTCTCTCTTCTCCCCCCCACCCACCCACTCCTCTCTCTCTATCTAATTGTAATATTTCAGTAGAGGAGGATGGGTTTCAAAATATTTTTTTTTCATTTTTTCAAACCACCTTGTCAGCGAGAAGAAATGAAGATGATGTTGGAAAAGCATGTCTTCTTCAAGACTTCTATTTTGTCATTTCTCGAAGTGTGCGATTCTTGTTATGAAACAAACAACCAGTATATTGACCATATAGACTTAACATAATCAACAAGTATTGCCAAATGATCAGTTAAACAGGCTCTTGAACCCTAACCAAACTAGAGAAACCGAACTAATATTCGAGTAATAAATTGTGAAATAATGATGATTTCAATTCATGAATTGTCAAAGAAAATGAAAATCAACAAGACTCATCAACTCGAAGAAGGGGGTGAGAGAAAGAGAGACAGAGAGAGAGAAAGAGAGAGTTGGAAGGGAGGGGGAGGGAGGAGTTTCAAGAAAGAGAAAGAAGCTTATGAGCAAGTTGCATATGATAGAACAAGTAATGCTAGCAAACATACGTATTGGAACTTATCAAAACCTTATAAGAGCGACCGATTGATAGAAACAGTTGATTGACTTTTGTCCAAAGCTAATCAAATAAGTGAAACGAACAGTCGATTGACAATGTAATGGAATGAATTGGAACATTAACACGATCAGACTCTATGAAGATTGATAGAGAGTGATAGAGAGTGATATAGAGGGAGAGAGAAAGAGAAAGAGAGAGTAAGCGACTTTAATCAAAGTCAATGTCATTTCGAACTCGCTTATATAAGGTATGTTTCATGTACGGAACAACAGTCTATAGATATAGCTCGTCCATAACCTATCCCGTTACAACGTACTAACCACAAATGAAAATAAAAAAAAAATATTATTGAAAGAAAAAAAAATAGAATCTTAGTGACTAAGACGTTATCATCATCACTTCAATCTGTTTTTCAGCTTACTTCAAAGTAAATTTTATTTCAACAAAACATGTTTCAATGTGTTATGCTCAAGCTATTTATCACCCACTTACTATCTATTAATAGATATATGCAAGTTCATTTGGATTACTTGAAAAAACATTGAAGATGATTGTAGAAGTTCTCGCTTACTTAAGCAAACACACGTATACACACACACACATCTTTCCCTCCATTTTTTTATTATTGAAAAGTACTGCTTGACGGGGCAAAAGATGAAGGTTAAACTAGTGCTTATATGGTGATGGATGTATGATAATCCTCAAATAACTCACAAATCGTTTTTCTACGACGACGAATAAGACAAATAAATGAAACTACGCAGCATGACACATTTTCATGATTTTCTTGGAAGAAAACATGACTGATAAGGACGAATAGCAACTTTCTGAGTGATGAGTAGATGATGTTATCTTCAAATGAGATGACAACAAAAAAAAAACATAAGAAGATGAAGAGGTAAAAGCAGAGAGAAGAAGAATATGATGAAGACGTTGAAGATGGTACATGTTGAAGATGGAGATGATTGTAAGAAGAGTCGTATACAATAGAGAATGTCAGAATAATGATGTTAGTGATGAAAAACTAGAACCCATCTTTTAGCTTAACGTATTTAACGGCAAAAGAATCATCATCATTTCACAATGAAAAAAAAAACGAATATTCTTGATACAAGCTTTCCATTTAGACAATGATGATGATGTTAAGCGAAATGGAAAGAAGAGCTTCCAACTTATTCATTGACAGAGAGAGAAAAAGAGAGAGAGAGAAAGAGTGAGGAGAAAAAGAAAAAAATTTGAGGAGAATGGAAGAAAGAAGCTGCAATAGGCTATTGAATAAAAGTAATGCAGTTATCGAATTTTGAAGTCAAACTCTATTTCAAGCAGAGATGATTATAATTTGTGTTGAGCAATGGCGGGTAAGCAATGCTGCACATGCCATGTTTCAAATAATTTTCAATAGTAATTACGATGAACTATGATTTTTGTTGATTTAAAGCATAAAATGGCAATAAAAACATTATGAAGAGAAAGTTTGCTAATTGAAACATCGCATCGACAACATACAGTTGATGATGGCTGTTACTACTACAGCTCAGTCATCTACACATGTTCAAAATGTGTGTTTAAAGTTGAAAGTATCAAATGTTTTTGTAATTTGGTTCAAATCATACAGAAGAGCTTATATTGATGACACATCTCATATCTGAACAAACTGAAGAGAGATCATGGTAAGGAGGCAAATATCCAATAGAGAAAAACCTGTTCAATCCAAATCTATCAACCCCATATTATCTACTGAAATATGGCAGGAGGAAAAAAAACCAATTTATGTCATTTAGAAGAGTTAGCGAGGTGAAGGAGATGAGGGTGAATGGTGGTGGTGGTGGTGGTGATTGAGTAAGACCAAATACAGTTTGTCAATACCGATCTCACTTTCTCTATATATGATGTAAATATAAATTTATAAAATACAATTATAATCGTTGTTTAGACGAACGCTGTTAGGATGGAGGAAGAGCCAATCTCAAAGATGATTCTATGAAGGGAGGAAGAGAGGGAGTGTAAGACAGGATGGATTAATGAAAACTGCTTTATCAATGGGATAGGACCTATAATTGATATATGATAGTGAGAAACAACAAAATATTGTAAAGGAATAAAGAGGTCTATGAGAGGTAGATGTCAACAGCAAATAGTAAGTGCCAGTTGCCTATTTAACAATGCTGCTATCTCTGAGGATTAAGAAACAAGCTGGCAATAAGTAAGATGAAATGAAGACGAAGAAGAAGAAGAAGAAAGCAAAAGTTTGACACGAGACACGCTATGAGATAGATGATCTGAGAGAAAAAACTTTTGTTGAATAGACAATGAATATGAAGAGTATCGAAGATGGACGACAAGAAATTGAAAAGCTATAGACAATTGAAGTATATGAGCATTTTTCATTATAACAAACTATGCATATAATTACTCAGATTACAAATTTATATATTTTTCATATAAATTTCTATCGATAAAGACGAGGAGAAGATAGGTGTAAGATAGGGATGGGTGGAGGTGGGGTGGGTGGAGATGAGAGTAAGTCAAATGTGATTCAGAAAAGGCAAAGCTGTCTGACATGGTTATTGATCATGAGGACATGCAGGAATACGGCACAATATCTGTTACGTTAAGAAAACGAACAGACGGTCACAGCTTTATATAGGTCAAAAGGAAGAACTATAACAAAATAATATTAGCCAAATATGATTAATTAGAAAGGGATTGATAGAAAAACAAAACTGCTAATAGCAATAACTATAGGGTTGTTATAGAAGAAGACGAAGACGAAGATGACGAAGAAGACCATCTTCATAAGTGACAGAATACTCTTTCATCTGTATTACTATACAGCTTCTACCACCCAACCCTTTCTCTCCAAAAAATAGATTAGTTCAAGAATAGTTGCTGACATATATGTTTCCGTCACTCATTGTATATTTTGCAGACAACATATTGGTCAGACTGACAGACAGACTTGCCACACAAAATACTCTTTAGGCTTGCCTATGTTTTATGGAGGAAATGAAGGATGCAATGTGAGCCAATTCTCTGAGGAGTTACGAAAACTACGAAAATTCCAAAGAAATATAAAGATGAAGGAGGAAGGAGGAAGAGATCTCACACAAAACAGCTGATGAACATGTGAAGCTTATTGTTCTCGTATGAATATACGTACTGTGAGATATAAATGATGAACAGGAAGTTATATGATCAGTAATATCTAAACTACAGACGAACTTGAGCTGAGCGTGAAAAAAAAAAGAGTTTGGACGAAGAAGTAGTAGAAGAGTATAGAAGTTGGCAGAAGTTCGATGCAGCTGTTCGAGAGTTTGAGCCATTTTTCAAAAAAAATTTAAGAGATAAAAAAAATAGTCTGAAGTTGATTACTTGGGAGTGAAGGTGTTAGTTTAATCCACTCAAGAGTCAATGCTTCGTGGTTTGTATTTACAACACATGAGCAATCAATTATGGTATAACCTATGGTCAGTACAGGGAGAGAGAGAGAGGGATTGAATAAGGAAACGAATGTGCATTTGCTCTTCTATGATGTGCCAGAAGGTTTGTTTCATTGACCATAGAGAAATATTGATCATGGAACGTGAAGTGGTCAGAGAGAGTAAGGGTGGCCAGCTACGAGAGGGTGGTAGGGAGGAAAGGAAGAAGATCTTTAGCTGGGTCATAGAATGAGAGACAGGACGAGAAATAAGAAAGGCAGACGTTTAAAATAGAGGGAAATGAAGCATTCAGGAAAAGAGAGAATAAATGAGCGAAAGAGAGAGAGAGAAAAGCAAAGAGAGATTCAAAATAGAAGAGAAGCTCGAACACCATATTTAGGTCCATTTATGTACTCAAAAGACATGCGAAATAACATTATTTCCCCCCAATCTCCCTTTCATCTCACAAATAAGTTAATTAAAATGCGGAATCTCAACTCTGACTCTTGGGAGTATAGTAAGGTATCCTTAAGGGAGTACACGAGTAAGTCAATAGATGAAGGAACGGACTGCAGCAAAAAAAAAACAAAAGCAAAATCATTCCTTATGAAGAAATCAATAGCAAATGTTAGGCAATAGGATGATGCGCATGGTAAATCATTCGATTTTCCAATTAGTAACTCTAATTAGTAAGAGCATTAGCCAGCCGGGGCACAAGGAGATGAGATGAGAGTAGATTACATCTGGATCTAGAAGATGACGGAAACGAAATGATAGATGAACTCATATATTGCGAATTGTTAGTCATGAGCTCCAACCGGATTTGACGAATTCGAATTCTCATACTGCTCAAGCTAATAATAGAAAGTCAAAACTGAAGTAATGCATTGATTAGTGTTAAATGATAATCAATATGGCTTACAGTCTCAGTTGTTCTTCAATATCAATTTCGATACAAACTGGATATTATCAAATAATTATAAAAAGAAGCAGATGATAGAGACGGTTGCGGAAAGGGAATGACTTCTCTCCTTCCATTGAGTGCAAATTCTCGAAATAGCAAACACAGAGAAAATAGATACAGTAAATCCGTCTTATGAAAATTAGGAAAGAAAAACAAATTTTGCTGGAGGGAAGAAAGAAAAAGAGAAGACGATAGAATACTAGTGGCGCAACGATGGCGAGATGGATTATCAGCAGCTTCTATTCGTTGCGCTTCGCTACCAAACCAAGGCGAACTGACCGGAAATTATGATGGTGCTGAGCAAAACAGAAGTTTAAGCAAGAATTCGGAGAAATAAGAAAACAAAATGAGAATGCTTCCAAATAAGGAATGCTCAAGCCAGCAGCCAAAGTTTATAGAATACAAAGCTGTTGTGAAGAAGCGTACCTGTTGCTCCGTTAATCGATCATGTTTCTTTTCCCCAAACTTTTTCTATTTAGATGATGTTGATTGAATTGAGATATCCTTGAAACTACTTTGAAAAACAATTATTTCGAAATAAAACATACCGACCGCTCTGTACTTCGGATAATATTAAAATGATTTCTTGACGGTTGAGTTCACGTACGGATATGCTAATATTATTTGACACGTACAGACTCCTTAACCATTTGTTTCAATTTAAATTCCAATCCGAGTATGATATTCTAATTTTAGCGTCACTTGCAGCTTTGCAACTATGTGCATTGCTGACACAGAGTTTCTTGAAATCTGCAAAAAAGCAAATGAGGTTCATCTTCGACGGACAGTACACATGGAATTTCAGTTCAAAGTTCAACATGATCCATCTGAACTTCAATGTTAATTTATTAATAATATGAAGAAGAGAAATGAATATCTTTTGGACAAATAGACCTTTCTGAATCACAGTTAGCTCTTAAGGTTATTAGGACACGCAATGAGAATTGTATTTACAAACGACGGCTTCCAAGGACATTAATGAAATCATAATTGTCACGGCAACAGTCTACTTTATAATTAAATGATAGCAAAAGACTTACTCATTTTCACCAAAGATGTTTTTCCTTTGTTCAATCGCCGTAAATAAACATATTAGTCGTTGGTATTCCAACTGGTCAACAGAACAACCGGTCATTGGCTTTTTACTTTCTGAAATAACGAAACTCAATCGGAATAATATAGTTTGGCTTTTACAAATACCATGAGTTATCCTTTCATTAAACATTCATGTTTTTACTCGTTCTCTTGATAAGCTTTTTCAATAAAATTTTAAATTTCTCAGTTGTATGCTAGCTGTTTGAAACGCGCTCTACTGCGAATGGTTACTGTATCTGTTCATAAAGCGTTTACATTGGGTTTTACTTATATTTAAATATTTCTTCTTATAATTTACTTCGTTGTTCAATTTATCAATTTAAATTTTGTAATCTTTCAGTTCACTTAAAATGGCTGATGATGAGTTAGAAACCTATCGTCTTTGGCGTGTGCGAAAGACAATTATGCAGGTTAGCTTCATCTGAATTTGATTTTCCTTATCGGTGCTGTTCTCAGATGTGCCATGATCGTGGTTACTTAGTTACCCAAGAAGAGTTAGATCAAACTTTAGATCAGTTTAAGGTTCGTATTATACTTCATCCTCGTCTGTTATTATTATTAAATTCAGGAAATGTTCGGTGATAGACCAAGTGAACGCAAGCCAGCTCGTAGTGAGCTTACCATTCTTGTAGCTCACAATGATGATCCAACAGGTAACTACTTGATCGTTGTTTCTTTCTCTACTTAGTTTTCAGATCAAATGTTCGTTTTCTTCCCCGAAGACAGTAAAATCGGAATTAAGACTATTAAAGTAAGTGTTATCGTTGTCAACTTTCGCTAATCCCGTTTGTTACAGGCTATTTGCCAACAGATGCAAGAACAAAATATCACCCGAGCTATTATTGTAGTTCAAGCAGGAATGACACCATCAGCTAAACAGGTAATCAAATTATATATTATATTTTCTACAACTGTTGCTCTAGTCAATTGCTGATATGGCCCCCAAATACACATTGGAACAATTCTTGGAAGCAGAGTTGATGGTGATTCAAATATTTTCATTTATATTTTTAAAACATACATTTAAGGTAAATATAACTGAACACGAACTTGTACCAGAACATGTGGTTATGACAAGCGAAGAGAAATCTGAGCTTTTATCGAGATAGTGAGTACTCATCATGACTTCGTTACTTTATATCGTATTTCAGTAAACTAAAGGAAAGTCAATTGCCTAGAATTCAATTGTCCGATCCTGTAGCCCGTTATTTTGGTCTCAAGCGAGGACAGGTAAAGCTTTCACATCATTCATTTAGATTTATCCATTTGTTCAGGTAGTCAAAATCATTCGACCATCAGAAACTGCTGGAAGATATATTACCTACCGACTCGTTGTTTAATGTGTTTCGTATATTTTGTTGTTATTTGTTTCTGTTTGTTTGCCTACCATTGTGTTATCAAAGAATTTCAAAAATGAAGTTCCAACTCACTATCAAACGCTTTATTTGGTAAAAAGAAAAGTAAATCAGACTCACCATGAATGCAACCGCTCTATACGATCTTCGATCTCTAAATAAAAAGCTCGTGCGTGTATGCAAATTACAAGTGTTTTATTCAGATTTGCTCGAATTTAAAATGACAATTACCATTAGGCAAGAGTAATGTTTCATATATCTGAGATATTCCATCATAGTTATAGCTTATCTTATAATTCTGGATCAACCGAGATAGGACGATCTGCAAGTCTTGCTCAGCGAATCTTCGACCTATATAGCAGGGTTGTAATTTTAATGAGATTATTTTCAGAGTTGAAAGCACCTGCACACATCCGTGGACCAATCCCAAATGGTAACAAAGCATATGGATGAGCTGAATCACCTTTCTCTCCACCTCGAAGCCAACGTGAAGGTTGGTACTCATTTGGATTTGTGAATAGTTTTGCAGACCTTGAAACACCTTACATATCTTTTTCAACGCACTAACCTTGTAAGTATGTTAGTATTTATATCTATCGGTGTAAAAGGATCGATGACATATTCTCCTAGAGTAACGCTTTTCTGAGGGATTCTTGAAATCTGAGAACAATATCTTTATAATGAAGTGATGGCTACTTGAAAACCTCAGTCCCAATAGGGTATAGCCTGAAGGTTTCTTTGATGGAAGCTTTCAGCATAGGAAGCTTATTCCTTTTGGCGGAAACCAATTCTTCAAAAGTCGATATACGAACGATTTTACAATGATTCAAAGACCTTCTCCATTTTTGGAAACAGAATTCACTTCCTTTCGTATCTCGTCTTGTATGTCAGGATGTTTAGCCAAGTTATACAGATTGTAAATGAGCATGGGTGCAGTCTAAACGATGACGGATTGAAAACAAAATAATAGATCTACAAGTACAGTGCTCAATCCATCCGAAAACAGACTGAGCATTATAATTTTGACATCTTCCTCAGTCAAAGTCTATAAACAGTCGAAAATAGATGTTTGACATGGAAAAATGGAAATACCCTTTGACTAGCAAGTTCTCCAACCAACATTTGTTGGGAAATTTTTATTTTATTATTTCGTATGTCAGATATTGCCCGTTTCATGAGCACGTGTGCCTCCCTGTAAAAACAAGTTATTTTCGTATAAGGAAATCCTCCTACGCATAGAATTTATCCTCAAGCTCCACCAATTTTCTCCATTTCCCAGTCGGCAGGAACCGAAAGATGGGCAAAGCGAACTTAAGACTGCAATGAGTACGAATGCTAAACAAATTGGTCGCAAAACGTTTAGTACTCAGCCGATAATTTGAAAATCTCATGATTCAAGCCAGTTAAGTAATCTGCCCATTCAACGTTGTCATTCAGAGCACCCAATCTTCGCTCAAATACAATAAGTCCCGCTGATTCCAATGACCATCTAGAATCACGAATTGTTCACCTCGTTGTGAGAAAAACAAAATCGTAGACAAAAAACATTTCAAATTAAATAAAGCGAAGAACACTCTTGATCTCCCAGCCCATCTGACAATTTTTTTCTCTCTCTCAAGTTTTTACCAATTTCACGTGCTGCTCGACCTTCCAGTGTTTTTGTCAAAGTTTGACGTCAACGAACTCCAGACAATACATTAATGACAAGAAGAGAACAGATGGTGCTCACATTCATTCTGTCAGCTGATTTATGAAACTGAGGAAACTAATACCTTCCAGCAATTTTTCGCATATCCACCTCATTATCCGAATTCTGATTATATCTGATATGATCAATAAGGTGGTGAGCAACCTGTTCCACAAAGGGCACATATCTGAACAAGTTTTTTTGTTGCTAAGAACAAAGTTTAAGAATGATGAGAATCATTTCCGATTTTAAAACACCTACTTCTCCATTCCTTGCGGTTTCATTAAAATCTGCGACGTGGCTGAACGCAAACGATACCATTCATCCCCATTCCTGAAAACGGTATTCCCTGATCAATACCAAATATGGAACATTTTGATTTTGCACTCCAACGTATCACTTCCGTATTTGAATAAGTTGGACGAGAAAGAAAAAACCAACAAGTTGCCTAATCCAGGGTTCATACCACGCATTGTTCGATAGTTCTTGGTTGTCTCTTGTAGTGGAACTATATGTGGCTGGTTACCGTCGGTCCGAAAAACCTTTTCAGCATACTCTGAATATGATTAGCATATTCGCACAAAAATAGCCTTGTCACAAGTCATAATCCAAAACTTGACAAACCTGGACTGAATACATGAACAACTGGTTTTGAGGAGAACGCGAACTCTTCTTTTACAATATCACCATAAGTTTCATTTAATTCCAAAAGATAATTGAAATAATTTTTAACATCGTGACCTTAACAAACAAAATTTTAAAACATTTCTCTTTTGCTGATTATGCACGTCTCTGTAAAAACGAAACCCGTTTTGGTCCAGGAATTTCGTTAACGGTTTTGAGGGTTGGTGTCGAAGATGTGTTTGCTGCTTGTTGTCCATTGTATGGACAGGTTCCGACAGTTGTGGCCATCTTCCGAAATTGTAGACGAACAGCCATCTTCACACGCACGCAACTAATATACGAAAAGCTTATGTAAGTTATAAGTAGCAGTAGTAGTAGTGATAGAAAAAGCAGCAATGCAATGTATGTTCCTGGATGATTGGATTTGCAAGGAATATATATTGCGTACAATCAATTGTAAAATCTTACTTTCTCATAAATGCTGACAGTTTATTGATTGTTCATTAACACAAACACAAAGACCACATCCAGTTTCTTGTGCTTTCAATGTTATTGATTAGACGTATTCATCTTTTACTTCCCTTTTGATAAGAAATCAGTTTGCTTGTGCTCTATTCATAACGCTCTCCTCTACTCTGCCTCCTCATAAAAAAATATGTTTGTTATTTACCAATTGTTCAAAGATCTTTAACCTTTGTTAAAAGCTGTCAGAGGAAATAAGTTTACATTAAAGTTTGAGAGAGGAAATAGCCCATTCGCAAAGAAACAATTGATCTTCAAAGAGAAGCAAGAGGAGAGATCGCCCATCCAACCGTTCCACATGTCCGCTCAGGAGAGAATGAGAAAAATTCGAGAGCAATTAAACGTTGAGTTGTCCACACTACTATAGTGCTAGTCAGATGAAAATCAATTAAAGATTTTATTACAATTTTCATACAACTTTTCGTAATAGTACAAATGCTTAGAACTGAAAGAGTAGAGCGAAAGATTCAGCGTCGTTGAGGTTATCGAAGGTTATGTCACAGAAGGTTGATATCAAATTCTTTTCCTTATTTTCCGAATCCCCAACCGCCAGAGTTGGAGTATCCACCAATGTTCAATGAGCTTGAAAGTCCCCAGCCTAGTCCATTACCGTAGCCGTAACCACCGCCGGGGTATCCTTAAATGACAGCCATTAGGATTTCAATTAGCGTTTTAGTCTTACCGCCCCCCATGTATGGGTAACCGCCATATCCTCCGCGATAACCATGATGGCCATATCCATGACCGTATCCGCCTCCGTAGCCACCTCCGTAGCCATATCCTCCATAGCCATAGTGTCTTCTTGCTCTTCTGAAATGACTTCATTTATTCTCATTCTTATATATAGCAAATCTTACATATGTGGAGTGGCTGGGCTCTCAGTCACCTCATCTCCTATCGGTTCCGCCGACAAAACTGCATCCGCATGATGCTCCTCGGCAGGTAGAGCTGCAGGATCGCGCTCTATTGAAAGTGCTTCGCCTATTTGAGGCTCCTCGGTTGTAGTTACATCGGATGTAGGCTCCTTTACTGATGGGTTATCAGTAGGAATGTCTTCCGCAGCTAGAGAATAGGAAACCGCAACAAATAATAAAACAAGGAAGTTGAGATTCATTTCCAGAGTTGAATTAAATAATTGAATTGTCTTTTATTTTTTTCGTCCGCTTTTATATTCTCGATTAGAACTTGTTTTTTATCATCATCATATTCGGCAAAATGTATTCCCTCAATTCTTTCTGAAATTCTGAAAATTGATAAGCGAAATTCGCTAACTAAGATGAGAATAACCACTCATTGCAATAACTGAAGCTACCGCTAGTGCAGTAACAAACAATCAGATGAGACTATGACTCAACTCGTGAGCGAAAAGAGAAGTGTCCACTTCGTTTGAAAAACAATTCATTTTTTAAGACGCAGTCCCTTTATTACGATTTAAACTATTGGGAGGCCCCTGCTATTATATTTCTTACGCTCTCTCAGAACTTAAATTGAGGACAGTCGCTTAATCATTCCTAACGCACGTAGACTTGAGTGTATCTCTTGCAATCGCCGAGGAACGAATCAGGCGACAATCGAATGAGAGATAGAGAACATCTCATCGTACGAATCAGACAGCTGATTTGCCTTGTTGACTTGTGAAAGTTCAGTTCTTTTACAGTGTCTTTCTTGAACTCTAATTGATCTGTTAACTTTCGAAAAATTTATTTTACACATGCACACTACAATATAATGAGATTTTCTTCTGGGTTTGGATAAATAAGTTAGTTTAGGGAAACCACCAAAAAAGTAAAACCAGCATGATTGACATCACACCCGAGAACTGTGATCCGTCAGAATATCAAATAAATAAAGTAGTATATTTAAGATAAATACATTAGTTGTACAAGTCATCGTCATCGTTAGATGGAGCGGGACCACTTGATCCACCAGTAGCGTTCTCTCCTGGGAACTTGAAATTGTTTCCAAATCCACGCTGTTGTTGGAGAGTTTGAGCGAAAAGTTCATACCTTAAGAGAGAGATGAGAAAAAATGAATTTCTATCAAGACTTACTTTCTAATATCGTTATCAGAAACAGATCTTCTAGCGAACTTCATGGCTTCTTCGAAATGTCCACGAGTGATCTCAGGAACTGGATCGCTTCCTTCCTCATCCATAAGCTCTTCTCCACGAGCTTGACGTTCTTGACGTTCCTTCTCGATCTTGATGTCCTTCTCAATAGACTCACGGATGGCAAGCTTGCAAGCTCTAAAACGTTCGAGATTAGCCAAGGTAATACATTATAATTATAACCTCTGGCAAATTTCAGTAATATCAGCTCCGGAGAATCCGACGGTACTCTTAGCCAAGAAGGTCATATCTACATCAGATCCGACTGGAGTCTTGCGGAGGTTAGCCTTGAAGATTTGAAGACGGGAAGCTTCATCAGGAAGTGGAATGTAAATAAGTTGATCCAAACGTCCAGGACGAAGGATGGCTGAATCGATGATGTCGGGTCTGAAATGCCAATTTTAATGAACGTTGATCTTTCAATGTGATTCTACCTGTTGGTGGCTCCGATAATGAACACATTCTTCTTTGAGTTCATACCATCCATTTCGGTGAGAACCTGGTTGATAACACGATCAGCGGCTCCACCAGCGTCTCCAGCAGATCCTCCACGAGATTTGGCGATAGAATCCAATTCATCGAAGAAGAGAACACATGGAGCAGCGGCACGAGCTTTGTCGAAAACATCGCGAACATTGGCTTCAGACTCTCCGAACCACATGGTCAAGAGCTCAGGTCCCTGTAATTTCAGTCATGAGATAGAAGATTCACAGCGAGAAGAGCATGCTAATCAAAATATTTTCTCAGATTAAAACTATAGCACATTTATGACACTCAAGTAAGTATCCTAAGCTTACGATTAGAAAAGAAAGCAGAACGCTCAACTCTTCTAACCATTAAACCAAAACTTATTCAAGTTCTTAAAACATGCAGCAACTATAGAAGATACACTCACCTTGATGGAAATGAAGTTAGCTTGGCATTCGTGAGCAATAGCCTTAGCCAAGAGAGTTTTACCACAACCAGGAGGTCCGTAGAAGAGAACACCACGAGATGGTTGCATACCGAACTTGAGGAACTTTTCGGGGTGAGCAACTGGGTATTGTACAAGCTCTTGAAGCTCTCTCTTGACATTTTGCAATCCTGAAAATGTTCACATTAGCATATTAGTTGATTTTCGAACAGCCCAGGTCAGCCAAAAAAACGACTTTTTGAATGCATTCTATGAGTTATCACTTTTGCACAAATATGACACTCGATAAAACATGCTTTAACACGAGAAGAAACTGTGATAACAAAACGCTACCACAGAACCTCAAGTATAAAAGTTTTATCAAGCTCTTAAGTTGTGCTGAGTAAAGTATTCGTAATAACGAACCTCCGATATCTTCCCAGGTGATGTTTGGTGTTTCAACAACAGTCTCACGAAGAGCAGATGGAGATGATTTGCCCATAGCGAACTGAAGAAAAATATGAGTTTTTCAAGGTTATTCCTATACTTACTCTGAAGTTCTCCATGGTAACAGCCAAAGAGTTCAAAACTTCAGCATCAATGGTATCATCTTCCAGATCAATAAGCTCCATCTTTTCACGGATTTGTTGAAGGGCAGCTTCGGAGCAAAGGGAGGCAAGATCGGCACCAACATAACCGTGACATTCATTAGCAACTTGCTCGAGATCAACATCATCAGAAAGCTTCATGTTCTTAGTATGGATTCTAAGAACCTCGAATCTTCCGACGGCATCAGGAATACCAATGTCGATTTCTCTGAAAAGTTGAATAGTTTCAGATTTCTTCACGATGAGATTTACCTGTCGAATCTTCCGAAACGACGGAGAGCTCCATCAATGGAATTTGGTCTGTTTGTAGCGGCAATAACGACAACATGAGAACGTTGCTTCAATCCATCCATAAGAGTAAGAAGTTGAGATACGATTCTTCTTTCGACTTCTCCGTGAGTCTTCTCTCTCTTAGGAGCAATAGCGTCAATTTCGTCGATGAACAAGATAGCTGGGGAGTTCTTCTCGCACTCTTCGAAGGCTTTACGCAAGTTGGATTCAGATTCTCCGGCAAGTTTGGACATGATTTCTGGACCGTTCAACAAGAAGAAGAAAGCTCCCGTCTCGTTGGCTACGGCTCTTGCGATCAAAGTTTTACCGGTACCAGGAGGACCGAACAGTAAAATTCCTCTTGGTGGCTTGATACCAATGGCTTTGAAGAGTTGAGGGTGTCTCAAAGGTAACTCGACCATTTCCTTGATCTGAGCAAGTTGTTTGCGGACCTAAAACACGTGGAATGAAAGCTATCCAGACTGGTTGAGCTCTTACTCCTCCAATATCGTCATATCCAACGTCATTCATGTTCTCCTCTTCTTCTTCGCGTTTGATTGCTTCTCCTTCATAATGGATAACGGTATCAGGGGCAACAATACAAGATGGGGAAGGATCAGTCTCCACAACCTAGATAAAATGTTTATCTCAACAACTCTTTGAGTATGTTTACCTTAAATTCGACCGTTCTCATGGCGGCTTGTACAGTGAAGATATCACCCTTGTGAAGAGGTCTGTAAGCCTCAACAAAGTATGGCTTCAAAAAGACTTCGAATAAGTTACTGAAAGATTTGGTTTAACTTAGTTGTATAATTTCATCAATTACCCAGTAAGTCCTTCAACAGTGTCATCAATTGGGAGAACGTGGACTCTCTTTCCGTAACTGATGCTTGGGGCAGCGGTTACGCTGAAGGTTAATTGTTTAGATCAACAGACTGAATCAAACAATACCTGACAACATCACCAAGACGAACTCTGAGGTTGTGACGAACAACTCTGTTCATTCTAACTTTATCGTTGGCGCAGTTGTCATCGGCTAAGACGATACAGACAGTTTCTCTTCTCTTCTTTCCCTGAAGAATTCGAGAATTACAGAAATATATATGGTATTTGTATCACTTTAAGAACTACTGTGTCTCCACGGAAGAGACCGAGCTCGTCCATTTTAGCTTGAGAAAGAGCGATGACCGAATTATCATCTTTTTCACTCTGATCGACAATTAAGCGATTTGGCTTAGATTTATCCTTCAGAATAGCTGTAGCGAGAGCTTCATTCTTCTTCTCCTTTTCATCTTTAGCACTTAAATTGATTATAAAGTTTTATGGTAAAAAAAATATTTTAAGCTTACGTGGGTACAGATGCCATCGTCGATTGCGGATCAACTATTCTAGATTTACTTTTAGATGATGACAAAATACAGTGCGTTTGATGGCGTGTTTCGAAAGTGTATGAGAGTGTATGGGTTACGGTAGATTAGCATTAGGTCAGACCCTTTCATTTCCTCCTGTGGCGCGAGAAGGTCGGCTGGTCCTTAAAGTTTGGTATTAGTTTCATAATCATTTTAAATATTCGTTTTTCATTTGTTTACTTATGAGGTTGAATTCCTTTTTTTAGTGATTGATAAGGTGTGTTGAAAGTACTTCTTGTTAATCATCTGTACTCTTAGGTAGCAGTTCTATTTTTTCCACAGTACAAGTAGTATGATTGATCTTTAAGTTTATTAAGAACATTTCAAACTTAAGATTCTTCATTTTTAATGTTTTATTCAAGGATTTAGCTTTAGGATAGTTTTATGTCTGCGAAATCTCGTATTATCTTTGAGATCAGCGATTTGTAGAGATCTGAGATAGTCTGCAGAAAGTTTTGGAATCGCTAAAACACTTAAATTGTCTTAAAATTGTACAACTAGCGTTTTTAGGATTCATAAATGACTATGATCATGGGCCTAAAACTGCAAAGTTACTTTGCGACCATAGATCTATAGTTCAAAAGTTCAGGAAGTTTCGGAACGTGACGAATGATGTGAAGCTTCACCAGAGCGACATCTATAATATCAGTCTCTATCTGGGAAACATTTGTCACTGCTACACTCGTGATGATCGTGTGATTGCGATAGCGCCAAGCAGTATTCAAGACACGGCAGAACAAACCTGTTTGCTTAGTGTCCTTGGCACTAACCTATCCTTCTACTTTTGACTATTCTTTGCAAACCTTACCTTAATTACAGGTTTGCACTTGAAAAGCAAATATAAAATACTTGGTAACGATGTATAAATTCTAATCTTTCCACTATCATTCCAGTGTCATTCGAGCACTTGCCGCTTCCATAGTTTAATTTTTTTTCTCCCATCCATCATGTACGGCGAATTAAACTATCTAGCCATTGTTAAGGTTAAGCAACCTTAATGGGAATGCAGAAGTTTCTGGGAGCTTTATTTTTTGAATATCCTCGTGGTTTGTGGCGGCATAGTGCGCCTCAGCGCTTTCGTCGTCTGGCCGTCTACTCTTTACTGGCTCTCTCCTCTGTTGATCGTTTCTCGAATTTTCTACTGCGCCGTTATGTCTTCCTTACATCTCCTTTCAGAATTTTTTTTTTGAAATATTTTTTCTGAGCTTCTCGTTTTTTCAAAGTCTTCATTATTTTTCTTGTCTTCTTCATACCTTCTTACAGTATTTGTTCTAGTCACTTACTTTTTTTAACGATTTATATTTTTAAGGCTCTACCGTAAGAAAGATCGTTCGGTCGTAACATCACTTCCGACTGCGTAATCGCAGTGTCTCAACTTGTTCCTTACTGATACCTTGTGAAAATTGCTCAATTTTCTTCAAAAATGTTCTATCTTGATGAAGAAACTCATGGACGTGATTTCGGTAAGCATTTATTTTTACGGCAAAGGGTCTTAATTTAATGTTTCTCGAAAATATTGATAATGCTTTATCAGATAGCAAACCAAATTCTCAAAGAAACGTTTTTAAACTTATCTACTAACGGTTCGAAAGTCAAACGTTTTTGTTTCTAAGTTTTTTCATATTTGCATTCGATGGATCATATGATCATCACACTTTCATTCCAAAGATCAATATTTTCCTCAAAAAATGCAGAAGATACTCTGGTTAGGTGCCCTTGAACCATCATCCATAATGCATCTTGTGTATGAGTGTGTGTGTGTCTGGCTGCGCTTAAGATAGCCCCGTGGTTGCTAGAGACGCAGAGTGTTGCTGTAGCACGTGATAGTGTTCAAATGGGCACATGTGATTCAAAATTGTGTAAACTATAGTTGGGAACCTCAGAAGTCACGTTGTTACGATTTGAAAGGAGCTCATACATTCGCCCTTACGCACAGCGACTACATGCTACTTATTAGCCGTTCAAATGCTTCGCTAAGTTAGTCTTTTCAGTTTACCTTCACCTTTTGCGAGAAGTAAACATAAGAACAATGTTCTGGTTATTGTTTTCTTTTTGATCTTACCACACAAAGTTCCCTCTTTCGACTTTGAAGTGGTTTGGGAGTTATCAAACACCGTTTTCATGCTCAGTGAGAGATAGAACGAAACCCTGTTTTTATCGTTATGGCCTGTGAGCCAGATGGTTATTCTTCTGCTGCTCGCCTGACCAGTCCTGTATCCCTTCTCGTCGCCTGATCGCTTTATTTATGGTCCATTATTGATCTGGGCCATTCATTGTATAAGGGGCGGGTGCGTTCGAATTTTCTACCCAACCGCGGCGCGTCAGAGAACCAGCTGCGCGTGGCGTGTGTAGCCTGTCTCTTGCCCGTTCTCTGTCTAGCTGCCTCGAATATCTATCTAACTTTAAAAAATGCCAATTTTAACTGCTAACTTGGTAATCTGTGAATTCCCTGGTTCTAAACTAAGAAGAAAAAGTATCTTAATATCCCCTCATACTGTAGAAGCTAATCCCCTTTTTTCCAGATGAAGCTGCGTCTTATCGCCATGTTATGAATCGGAATGGTAGTAACTCTTCTGCTGCGTCCGATGAGTATCTCTCAAGGTAATTATTACTCATTTATCTGCTGATCATCACGCCATCTTGTTTAGGGCAGTTTACACTAGCAGGGACAGCGAGCGCTTCTTCGGCGAATTTGAGGATGTTGAAAGTGAGGCGGAAGAACAGCCAGGCGAGCTTGTTCCTCTTGGATTAGGAAGAAGTCCCCGTGGTCAAAGACCAAGACATAATAGTATCAACTCAACATCATTCCATGGTCAGTTCAAAACTTGTTGCTGAAATATAGCGTCATCTTTGTTTTCTACTATCCGATATCAGGCTTTTCGGTTTGTGTTCTGAGGTTTACCTGTTAATGATGTATTATCAGTTTGGGGGGAGGGAGGTCATTCACATTCCTTTTTATTTCTGTTGAGAAGTTGACACGTAATTGTGGATGCTCTTATCTAAGCATTGAGTCATAGCGCTCAAAAATAGTGCCATGTCCCTATAGAATCAGGAGGTCGGGATAACAATAAACCATAACATTGATAGATTTCTCGAAAGACCCAGAACTTTTCCATCAGATATTCAACCGAAGTGCCGTCTGTTTTTCATCACTGTTTGCTAGCAAATCACATCTCTTGTCTATTTTTAACTGCGCTTTTCTAATCGTTTTTTATTTACAAACCCTGTTAAAATTCGTATGAAGACAAAAGAACTTGTGACTGAAAACAATTTTCTGGTTATTTTTCATGCTTATTTTTCAGATTTTTACAAACTCATGGATGACCACCTTGGGTCTGGTGCTTATGGAAGTGTCGCCACGTGTGTATCCAAGTCCACTGGTATTGAGTTTGCTGTGAAGGTAAGACTTAGCGAGTGTTTATGCATACATATCCATTGTGTTTAAAGGTTATTAGCAAAGAGGATGAGACGCACACAAGATCTAGAATACTGAGAGAAGTCAACACCTTGAAGTTGTGTAAGAAACAGCCAAACATCGTCCAATTAATTGAGGTAGGATAAAAGATACTCCTGGACACAGCTAAACGTTTTGCTCTTGCAGTGGTTTGAAGATGACAAAGCATTTTACATGGTTTTCGAAAAGATGCGAGGAGGTCCTCTCCTTCAGCATATTCTTCGTAAAGGCTACTTTACTGAGGAAGAAGCTCGAATGGTGTCGAAAGATATTGCATCTGCTCTCAAATTTCTGCATGACCAAGGTATGGGAAACAATCGCAGCACCTATTCAAACTTTGTTTTGCAGGGATTGCGCATCGTGATGTCAAACCGGAAAACATCTTATGCACGAACCCACATCGCGTTAGTCCCGTAAAGTTGTGCGATCTGGACCTAGCTAGTCGTCCGATTAGAGTGAAGGATTCTCCTCCACGAATGACTCAGGTTGGATAAAATGCGCTCATTAAAAAACTTACGTTCCGGCTCAGGTCTCAAGTGAACCCAATTTGGCATCTCCTGTAGGAAGTGCTGAGTTTATGGCTCCTGAGGTTGTTGATACGTTCGTTGGGGATCGTCTTAAATACGACAAGAGATGCGATATGTGGTCTCTGGGAGTTATTTTGTATATTATGTTGTGTGGATACGCACCTTTCCAAGGGGAATGCGATGACGATGACTGCGGGTACGCCTTTGATCTTTTATTTTCTCTTGACTGGAAAAAATTTATAGTTGGATGGATGGACAGCCTTGTGAAGAATGTCAGAGCTCTCTGTTTGCACGTATTCAGAGAGGCGAGTACGATTTTCCACATGATGAATGGGGAATGATTAGTGATGAGGCTAAGGATTTGGTTACTCATCTCCTTGTGAAAGACGTGAAGAAACGCTACACAGCTGAAGAAGTCTTGAAACATCCATGGCTTCAACAGAATGCTCCAATGACTTCTCTTCAAACACCAAACAACTTGTCAAGGTTTTACTTTTATAATTAGAACGTTGGCAAACTTCTGGTCTTTAAGAAATGATTCTGCTAGAGATGTCCAGTTGATGACTGAACATTTCAATGTAATGAATCGTCTTGGAGGTAGACTTAGTTCAAGACACCAGTTATCTTCTACCAGCGAAGAAGAAGTTCGTAATAACATTGAACTCGATACATCCAAGTTCAGCTTCGGTAGTCCAGGGCTAAGTTCTTCGGCAATGGTAAAAGCGTTTTGAATAGGAGGATATCTTATTTCTCTTTTTTAGTCCTCACTTCCTCTATTCATGATTCCACCAGATGATCTCTGGGATGCTGCTACGGATGAAATGATTTATCCATCTCCTATGTATTCTCCAAATCCTAATATGGACGATGTTCCACCCAATACATCTACCATAAATGTAAGAATTTGATCTAGTTTTCCTTCTCTTTATAATGCGCTCTAGTTATTCGATCGCCAAACTGCAGCGGGTTCTCGTGGAAGTATGCCACGCTTCAATTGTGGTTCAATGTCGAAAGTAAAAGAATTAGAATCTTGCCAGACAGCTATGGCTCGTCAAGTAGGTCTAAAATAACTTTCTGTGTTTTACTTCCTACCTTAAAGGATTCTAAAGCCGATCTCCATCAAATCTCTCGCGAGACTGAGGTCAACGTGTAAACTACAATCCGGTATTCAAATGGGTTTGCTGTTCTTCTGTATATATATAGCCGGTCCTAAATACTTGTCGATTTCTCGTTGGTGCAATCTCAGCCGGATAAAGCCTTTGACAGAAATCACTTAGCTGATTTCAAATTTTGTACATATTTGTCATCGGCGCCTGTATATATGTTATTGCCCCTATAATGCGTGTACAAAAGAAGTGCTGGTTTTCATTAGTGTCTTAGTAAAAGACGGTACATCGCCCATACTACAGATAATGAAATTCTGCCTGTTGAGCGATTTTCTATAGCCTTGACTATTTCTCAGGAGAAAAGCTGCATTTCCGTCTTGTAGCTATCGCCCTACTGTTGTTATTTATACCTTGTTCTCGTTGTTAACCTAATATGAGTAATAAGCGAGTACAGCATAGCTACTCAAGTAGTCTTTGCTAAAACCGGGTTTTGTTGTTATGTGAGCGTATGTTGCTGTTATTGTGAATTGTTTGAAGTATATCAAGTACAGCAATATGCGTGGGCGTAGATAGTGAGAATCCCGAGGATCTGTTTGAACTCTGAATGTATTAGTGTCTAATGTCATCAGATACAACAGCATTCATAATTCCTACAAATCCTTATTGTATATAAGTAACTGTATATTTGTTTTTTTTCTTTTTTTAAATCCACCTCCACCGTTTCTATCTTAGTCAGTTTTCTGCCACCTAATCTAGTTCGCTATTTGTGCACGATCAGTGATTTTCTTTTCGTAGATTGAAATTGGTTTATGGTTTTTTGCGTAGCAACTTTAGTTTTTAGAGTAAATGTTGCTCATAGCAACGCAGTCAAGGCCATCTTAGGAATGTTAGATGTAAGCTAATTAATGATAAGTGTATTCGTAAACTCTTAGCATGATGGCCTTGATTCCGTCCCCCCTCAATACTATTGTATTAAAAATCAAAAAAAAAAATCCAGAGTGCATGCTTTTTGCATGTGACTCTTTCCTCCATGGAGTGGCTACCACTCTGTTCTGGGTCCAACATCTTCCCTTCTTAGTGATAGCAGGCAGTCAAGATCCGCCTGCTCTTGATAAGGTTGAAACATCCTATGCCTTATTTTCAATGTTTCCATATATTTTTTAATTTTTTTTGCGCAGGAGGTGTGTTGTATCGACTGTGCGCATATTTGAAAGCTCCGGCTTGTTAATGGTGCATATTTAAGACCTCATGTGTTCACCACATCTTCGTGTATACCCCCACTGTATGCGTTGATGAATAAATCAGTGAATGAACAGTCGTTTTTTATTTCAATTACATATTATACATTTATCACACATAATTATGAAAAGCACCAGTTGTTTAGAAGGTATTTTCAATGAGTACCGATGACATATTAACTTAGGGGTTTCTTATAACATTTCAGAAAGCAATAGCAATTGCTCCGATGACGTAGATAAGAAGAGTGATGAACGAGGCGACGTTGTTGAGCGCAGTGTGGATCTGAAGCCAGTCTGCCGTTGCATCCTGAAAAACAAGATTGTCTTAGAAGATATGCTCAATGTTTCTGCTGTTCGCTCTCAAGAGTATATAGTCACAAGAGCCATAGCGCATGAGGAACTTTGTGATCTTTGCTTAAGTGAAGGGCTATAGTTACCTTGGATGATGTTCCATCTGTTACAGGGTCTTCCTCTGATCCGCAGCAGAGGTTAGCATTAAGCACAGATGCTAATAGAGTGTAGCGATGTGCTGCAATAATTGGAGTTAGGTTAATCAAATAGCCCAGATAGAAATCTTCTTGGATATGACGGTCAGATCATAAGAAGGGTGAGAACATTTTGGCAAAATAGGAGAAAAACAAACCTGGTGGTACTACACGTTTGACACGACTCATGGCCGATATTATGACAGTCAATATAAGGCTGATGACTGTGACGGACAAGGTGAATGCATAGAAAATATCTGTAATAGTAGGGGTCAAGTGGTGTTGCACCACCTGTTATGGTGTGGAAGAGAACTCACAGATCTTTGGCACAGTTGCTCCAAAGCCAACTTGTGGAGTCTTGTCAGCCAAAAATTGGAAAGACATAAACTGTAAGAGAAGGGCGAACATCTTAACTTGAACCTGAAAAAGGAAATTGTCATATTTGATCAGCTAAGCTTCTATCTAGCATGTATTCGTTGCGTACTCCACTCTTCCACTTTTTATTATGTATTCAGATGGTGTTAGTGAAACAAGCTGTTATAACTACCGTATATTTTAGTTGCAAAGTGTTTTTTTGAATGTAAAGCTCGAAAGTGAAAATTTGCAGCTTTCACATTCTCCGCTAAAATCAGAGTCTATTTTTTCATCCAACACATTGAGTTATTATTCAAGTTTGTGAATGAAAAGCTTAACCATTGACTGTTTCAAATTCTCGTCGGGTGAGGGAGTAGTGAAGGAGTAAAGGACAAGAGATTGCTTCCTCTCTCTCTGTCTCTCTCTCTCTCTGTTGTTGTGTGGGGGTGGAGGAAGAACAAAAAAAAACTGTTTTGACGTCTACAACAAATAAGTCTTTTAATTGACCATAGAGCAGCATATGGTTCAAATAATTAGTTATGACCAGTACTTAAGCCAAATAACACTTTCGCAATCCTTTTAACATTCAAATATTCTATGATGTGTACAATCTTTGCGTCTGCTTATTTGTGTTATCGTCAATGTTATCGTTTCAGTTATTACTATCCGGACTGTTCATTGAGCATTTCTCGTTGTATAGTTCAAAATATCTTTTACGACAACAGTGAAAAAAAAAATTCTTTTTTTTTCTTCTTTCCAAGCCATCATCTCTGATGCAATAGTTTAATTTGGAGGATAGGCAGTCACAGAGAGAGAGACTGGTGGTATGGCAGAGAGATTGAATGTGGGAGGGAGTAAGAGATAGAGAGAATGGTTGGCAGAACAAAAAAAAAGAAATAATTGATAAACTAGCCTGCTGTTTGAATTTTCCGAAAAATGGTGCAATCAACAAAAGTAAGGCAGAGACGAGTACCGGCACAGTCAATTCAATGGCCAAAGTAGTGGAACGACGTCTGGCAGTCACACATACCTCTAAGACTTCAGCTCTGAAATATTGAAAAATTATGACATAAAATACATTTTTGTTTTATTATTTATGGATGTTATGTATCCATCTCAACAGCATCATATTGTAATAGAAAGAGAGAGAGGGATAGATATAGGGATTGGATTGATGCGGAGAGCGAAAACATTTGTTACATGTTTTCATACCTGTTATCGCCTTCTTCGGTATCCTTGCGGATCCATGAGTTCTCAATGTACCAATTTGTTTTGATTCCCGAAACATCAAGTGTATCTGGAAAATACGCAATGAAACTCAAATACATTCTATTCTTCTCATTTTTCGAACAAAAATGTTTTCGGATTGCAACCGCATCACATCAATTCATTGTCTTCAAAATGAAATTCTCTCTCTCTGTGGTGGTAGTGGTGGTGCACATAATGAGAGCTGATGCGGTCACGTTAAAAATTAGCATAATTTATGCGTTACGTTCCAGCTAATGATGCAAGACAACTAATGAGGCATGGATTTGAATGATATTTCATTTCTGGTGGCTCACTTTTCCATTTTCTTGCGTCAATCTCTCTCTCTCATCCTCATTCTCTGTGAATGTCAATGGCTATCTACAATCAGCTCGTCACGACGACCACCAACAGACAGACATTTCGAACAAATTGAATAATAATTACCATTTTCGTGTTCAAGGAAGTATTTGATGTATCGCTTATACAAACTGGATTTCAAATTGAAACAACAATATTTCTTATCGGATGGATATTCGGTGTAGTCAATTTCACACTGTGCCTGAATACGATATTCAAGTCTTGCTGTCACATTTCCATTGTTATTCGATTGAATATTTTGGAAAGATACGTAATCCGAAGCCTGAGTGGCAGTCTGATGTCTGAAAAATGGAAAAGAAAATATTTCGATAACTATCTTTGTCTATCTATACATGTGTATAGTATATATAATTGAGTGTGAGCGCGTGGTCTGTGTAGTTATGAGCTTGTCGGGACCAAATAACGCATTATCAGCATGATGCTCATCATGCTGATCATGAGCTATTTCTGTATCCGACTTTCATGTCTACTTATAAGCTTTTTGTTGTTTTTGTTCCATTGAAATCAAGTTTCAATATGGCAAATGGAAATGAATGTGTATTTACTTCTCTGATTGAATATCCGGCACCCATAGACGACCAAATGATTTGATGTTGAGGTTATCAGTTTTCCATTCATTCACATCCCAACGTAATCGACGATCTTTCCAAGACTAAAAATATCCATTTCAATCGGGAAAAACTTTTTTTTATATGATTGTGTTATTGTGTTTGGTTATCATTAGGGAGAGACGAGATAGAGAGGAAGAGAGAGAGAGGGAGGGAAGGAGGGAGTTTGTCTTTTGCTCCACTACTACTACTACTATCGGCATGAATAAAGATAAAGTCACATGGAAATATATAAAACTTATCATGTGCTTTCATGTCTTGTCTCATTTTTCCTTCATCTTGTTTTGAAATGAAATAAGCTGAACATAGTAGAGACCTAGACAGAGAGGTTTAATCTCTATGTCGTGTCGTTGTTATCACATTTTGTGTTTGGTCAGCAGTGCTGATGACCAATCTCTCTCTATCAGCTCAAAAGCTCAAAAACGACGTGAAGATTTTTGTTTTAAAATCAGAAAAATGAAGATGGACCAGGGAGAGAAAGGAGGGAGGGATGGAGGAGATGATTCTGAAGAAGATGAAGTCTAGACGGCGACGACGATGAAGAGGTAGAGGGGGGGTGAGGAAGACATAAGACAAGGAAAAAGCTAAGAGGAAGGGATTGTCTATGATGCTTAGATGTTATAAGAATGTTGAATAAACACACGTCATTTCCATTCTTGTTCATCTACCTATGTTAAGAAGATCTTTAAGAAAATAGAAAAAGACAAGGTGAGAGATTAACTTGAATGAATTGTTTGTGGGCGATAAATACACAAATGGTAAAGCTAATAACATGTCTCCGTTCAATTGTTTCATCAATTACTCTGCAAATTTTCTTTTCTCTTCAATTGTTAATGAAACTAACGTTTTTGTGATCTTCTGATCTGCTTCAGAAGATCGTCAACAGATCTATTGTTTTGGTTGGATAACAAGGGTTGAGGGATATATGTAAGAGTTACTCTCAGATATATAGAATGAGCAAGAAACAAGGGAAGGAAAGAGATAACGCACAGAGAATGATATATGAAAGAGTTACTCGCAGATTGAGAGAGAAGGAGAAAGAGAGAGAAATCTACATATATATATAGAGAGAGGGAGAGATTGAAATATGAAATGGTCACCAAAAGAATAACGGAAGCTTTGGAAGAGATACTGGTGACCTGTCAATTGAGAGTTTCAGACAAGAGCCTGTAACCCTTAGTCTGCATCATAAATCTCTATCTCCCTCTATAGATTTCTCTTGTTCTTTCACTCTTTGTATATAAACATATAAAGACATCGACGATGGTGTCTTTTTTCCACTGTTTCTCATGTTTTGCAAACCATTTGGTCACACAGCGGGGGCACTTAGAGAGAGACCGCTGAGCTGATCTCCGAGCAACACGTACTAAATCGCTTCCGCCTAGAAGTCAGGGAAGTTTTTCAATTTAGAGTACAAGAAACTGTTTGTTTTTCTTTGTTTTCAAACTATTTCCGTGCTGTACGTTGATAAAGCACTTTGAAAGGGAAACTCAACTTCAGCTTTGTTCGCCTTTGCTCATTCTCTGTGCTCACTGATCGTCTTTAAGCATTGAGTGACGACTGCTGAGCACGAAGTTTTAAAGAAAATACAGTTTTCTATTTTTCTTCAATTCAGCTGCTTGTCCAGTTTATTAAAGCTTAAGCCAGGCGCATGCTTAGGTAAACGTCCAGCACATTGTTCGCTTCTCAATCAAAATCAAAGAAACGAATAGTAAAATGGAAAAATCCTTAGAAACAGGACTGCTTAAGCAACCTCTGTGTGACCGTTCTCTTTTCCACTTTATTTCTTCTTTATTTGTTTTGTTTTGTTTGAGGGTTAGGAGCTCTCACTGACCAGAACTTAGTGAACTTCACATCTCTCTATCTATCTCTGTCTCTCTCGCCTCTCATCATATCCTTTCTCTTCTAATACTCTCAAAATCTGTGAAATCTCAAATTGCTGTATTTTTCCGGATGAAGCTCCGTACAGTCAGAATTTACATTCACTCAGCTTAAACAACAACTGTTTTCGTTTCTCATTCTCAATTTTCATTCATTTCTCATCTCATCGGATTAAACCAGAGAGGTTTCATCTCTCAAATACCGTAATCGTTATTATCTGGTTACGAAAGAGGAAAAAAAAATAAAAGAAAGGTCAATCATTCAACATCTACAAGGGTCAGGAGTAGTTAAGCTGGTGTTCAATGAGAGCCCGTCAATGAATGAAAGGTCGAAAGAGCAAGAAAATACTTGAGAGGTCTCATCTTAGATGGATCGAAAGAGCAGAAAAACTGAGGAAGATTGCATTCGACTTCAACAACTCACCAGCTTAAGATATCCGTTTATGTTCATCTCTTTGAATACTTCATTCATCCACATCTGACGGACTGAAGCGTGCAAGACTTGCACCTCTAATGTTTCTCCAGCAGCAACAGTAGGAGGCAGAAGCATTAACGAGTTGGATTTTCCTAAAAGATTAAGATCAATCATGCACATCTGCACTTTGACTTTGCTCAGCTTACCCTGCGTCTGGTCAGCTTCTTTGGTCAACCTGTAGAAAAGGCATTCCTCAAGCACCTGATACTTATGATGAGCAACATCATCGATGTCTATAATGATTAGGATGAAGTCAAGAAGATGTCTCTTTCAGGATATTCAAATGTATATCTCAAATGTAGTTTTTGTTGACATTCAAACAGAATTAAGTCAACAAAAATTTTTGAGAATCGGGGTCATTATGGTCGTTTTCAGTCGGCAATACCGCCAATTCAAACTATAATTGAGGTCTTAGCCATTACATTAAGCCAACAGAATGAAATTACAGGTCTCAACTTTGGTTTTTGAAATATAAGGCAAGATAATGAAAAATGTTTAAAATGTAATAGACCATGACAGTGAGATTAATCATTGAGGCTTTGACAGTTTCATTCGAAAAATGTTTTTCAAATTTATCTTTTACCTGTTATATTGGTCTTCCAACGACAGTCAGCATCATAAGCAGCAGCAGGAGTTGTAAGATTTAAAATAAAAAAAGCTAATAAGCTCAAAGTTGAAGCTGTTAAAGATGGACAGAGGAGCTGTGATGATCGCATCTCTTTCCACTGACCCTCAAACAACCTCATCATGCAGGAGAGAGAAAGGGGTGGACGATGAAAGGGGTGACTGTCGAAAGAGGTGAGGCGAGACGAGGAGACATCGAATAAAGTACTGAAGAGAAGAAAAAAAAGAAGATGAAGAGAGACATGTTAATCAAAAAAGAAAAAAAAAGAGAATCAGACATGAAGATGACGAGAGAACAAGACGATATAGAGAGAGCAAGATAGACAGACTAGAATAGAAAAGAGGAAGAAGACAGTTCAATTGCCTCAGCTGAAAAGTAAAATTATCGATGAAAGAAATTGTCAGAAGAAGTTATTTTTTCCATTTTTGGAAGAAATGAGATAGAAGGAGCTAGTCTCTCTCTCTCATCTCCAAGCATAAATGGAAAATATTTCAACAATAATGACTATAAATGGATATAATTGAAGATGCTTTACTAGATCCTTATACAGCTTCTTACCATTTCGAATAAACCAACTCAACTACCTTCTCAGATGAATGAGACAATGGAAATGATCCAAAAGAAATGGAAACGAAAGCAGATCCTTCATCCAATTCACATCTCTCTCTCTACCTCTCTCCCTGTCCCTCTCTACCTCTTATCCCCCATCCCTCCTTACCTTCTTGATTTTCAGTTCATTTTTATTACATTTACATTTTATTATTTTAAGATAAAAACAGAAAACTTGTACAAAAACCCCTTTCGTGTAACCGTTTGTTTACATTATAATCAGAACTTCAAATCTGTCTTCACAACTTTACTTCTCCTCACATCATCATCATCTTCATCATCATTTACTTAGTATAGAACTATGACTGCAACATCACACACACACACTGTATATGAGCTAGTTGTTGAGTGAGAGCACATAACACGTGTCTAAGTGCGTATATGCTAATATGACGTCATTCACGTCAATCGTTCACGTGTGAACTGACGCACAATTAGTTTCATTTAAGAAATGAACATGACATACGGTTGTTAATACCAATTCAATTTATACAAATTATTATTTTTCTTTTCAGTACTACTACAACCATCTGTTGTCAATTGTTGTTTGCTGTTTAACCGTATAAGGACATGCATGCATATAGAATGAATGCAAATCTCCCCTTCTTTTACCTTTTTTTTCACTCTTTTTATATTTTTTTTGATTTTCCTTATAAAGAAGAAGAAGAAGAAGAAATGTATTCTGAATGTATATACATATATGATGTCGCTTTCTTCGTCTTTTCACCTGATAGACGGGATTAAGAACATTCATTGTGTCTAAATGGAGGACACACGACCAAACCTTCAACTGGCGACGATGACTGTAATGGAGACGAGAAGAGACGAGGAGACGTTTATTGAATTCAGTTTTTGAGATAGATGGAAGCAAAAACGTTCATAATCGTCTTGACAATAGATGAATGTTTCTCGACCAATGTGTTTTCATACAGTCAGTTGTTATACAAGTGTTAAATAGTAGCCACTGACGAAGGAATTAACACAATTATGACGAAAATGAAATAAAAAAAAAGAGAGAAGAAAATTCAAACAATTTTCAACTTTGAACTGCAACACGGCTGTTTGCAAACGAATTCAGAGTTCAACAATTTCCATTTTTGGACGAAACAAGATGAAGGCGAAAGGAGGAAGTGAAACAGTACTGTTGATGAAAACAGTATGGATACAAGTGTTATTCAATCATTCTATTTCATATTTTCCACATACGTCAATTCAATTGTTCTTTGAAGCATTATGGTTGTTGGAGGGTTGTTTGAGTAATGCTTTCAGTCTTCTGTTAACCTAATGGACAATTAATTACTTCAATGATGATTGTGATGATGAGGGACTTCACCTCTCTCTAACCATGTTCACTACTCTACAACAGTATTACTGAGTATTCAGAAATAGTCTTTCAAGTGATTGTTTCCTGAAGACAGATTTGAGTTCAGGGTCGAACAAGGCATGTGTGTGTGATTCTTACGAGCATGAGGCGAATACGTTTAGCCGGATTAGCCATAACTGAGAAGGGATCAGACGAACGGCAGACTGCTCATCACACCACCTTAGTGTGATTTAAGCAATGACATAATGATTGTGAAAGCCATACTGTAAGATGCATTCTATGGATTAGTTGTAGTCAATAAATCATCTGAATGATAAGGTATCCATGGCTGCTTCTGATGAATGACTCTTCAGAGGGAGAAAGAGAGAAACAGAGAGAGAGAGAGAGATTGAGTGTGGTATTATGATGAATATTTGATTCATTTTCATGGTTCTTATAAGGTATTTTCAAAATCATTTATCACTTGCATGCTTCAGTACGCTCCGTCGCATATTTATTTACTTTTTCTCTTCCAAATTTCTCAATTTGGAGCTCGTATTGTAGTTTTTCTTTTTTTTTCTTTTTCGGAAAAGCTCTCCTCCTCCTCATATTTCTTTATTTTCACATAAATAGTTTTGTTACCTTGTGCTTCTGCTTCATTTGTTAATAAATTGAAAAAAAGTTCGAAAGTTTTGTTTTTTCAATACAAAGATGGAGAGAGAGGAAGAGAGAGAGAGATAGATAGATAGGTAGAGAGGATGTATAAGATGTGGAAGAGATAGAGAGAGAGACAGTAGAGAGATAGATAGATGCATGAGATGACAGAGATATAGAGAGCTCTCCTTTTATAATTTTTCTTATCATAGAGATGTTGAAATCCTATTTTGCTGGTAGAGAAGCTAAGTGTCTGTGTATCTCTCCATGTATGGTGTGTGGGCTGTGTGCATGTGTGTGTATGTGTGTTGTGTGTGTGTGTGCTGTAAAGTAACTTTAATATAATTATTTGGTTTTTTTTTCTTGTAGTGTAGAGATTCAGCTTTTCTTGTTCAATCTCTCTCGTGATTCCATATTTTGATGTTGGGCAAGCATAGAGAGAGTGAGTAGATAGATAGAGAGGGAGATAGAGAGAGAGGGTGAGAGGGGTTTAAGCTTTGTTTTGAATTTGATTCCATCGTCTTCACATATAATATTCGATAATTTTGGATGAAAATAAAATAAAAAAGAAATAAATTGAGAAGAGGAAGGGGAAGAATGAATTGAAGGTGAAGAGTTAACGTTTATGGAAGAAGCTAAGAAGAAATAATAATTGATGAGGATGAATATGAAGAATGAATGAAGAGAGAGAGAAAAGCAATGAAATGGGCGAGAATACTTAGAGAGAACAATTCTCTCTTCTTCTCCATCTTTTCTTTATCTTTTTCCTTTTTTAAGTCTTCTCCTTGATGTTGTGAATCCGTCTCCATGGAATTGGCTAGAAGCTTCCTTTTATTTTCTCTTGAAATTTTAGAAGCTGAGAAAGACTCTTTTCTCTATCAAGCATGGTGGTCAGTCTCATTCTCTCTCTCTCTCTCTTCTGTTAGCTTCATCTTCTTCTTCTTCATCTTCTTCATCTTCATCTTTTTCATCTTATACTTCTCCTTCTACTTCTTCTACTCCATCTACTCCTCTGTCTCCTTTCTTCCTTACCCAACGTAATGTTGAAATGTAAATTTTTATTGGAAAAGACAATAATGGCCGCAAAAGTAAAATGAGGTAAAATGTGGAGAACAAAGTGGAAGAGACTGCCAGAGAGAGAGGACACAGAGAGAGAGTGAGAGCTGAAAAAAAAAGTGCCCAGTGTAGAGGATGGTGATTCTGCGGGAGAAATGCTTAGCCACTTCGCCACCCCTCAGCGCATTCCTTCGTTTTCACTCTTGTCTTCATCCATCCATATATGGAAGTAGGAGCTTCACGTACATTGATTTGTCAGATCTCTCTTCAGTAGTTGTTATGTCTAGATGTAAGTCGGTTGGTCCAGCTTTTCTTTGCTCACTTTGGTCCAGCATGGGGCAAGAGGCGCCATCCTATCGACCCATTTGCTTCTGACTCTCTCCATACTTCACGTCTCCAATTCATTCTTTCAATTTTTCTTTTTCACTCTCAGTCTCTTTCTTTTGCTCTCATTCATTTTGAATTTTCCCAACAGCCATCATTTCTTTTTTTCTTTTTCGCTTTATTCCTTCTATCCATGGCTTGTGCCTCTATGTTTCGGCTTCATCTCCATTCTCTCTTTCTTTCTTTTTTTTGTTGCTACTCTCCCATTCTCTTATTACCCTCTTTTCCCTCTCTCTCTTTCTATGAATGGCAGCTCACTTTCCATTGCAAGCAGTCACACTCTTGGTATTCAAGCAAGAAAACTGAATCACAAACTGAGTAGAGTTAGACCTCCCATTATACTTGCTTTAAGATAGACATTAGCTATCCCCTTCTCCTTTCTCTTCCATTTTCATCAACTCCTTCTTCTGCTTCTTCGCAATTCTTCTTTTTTCATTTTCACTCTATTCTCTTCTCGCCATCAACGTGTAAGCTCAACTTCAACTCGACCCTATCCTCTCCTCATCGCACATCCTTCAAAAAACCATTTTTATTCAAATTTTCTTTTTATTTTCTTTTTCTTTTTTTCGGAATAATTTTTTTCTTCCAAATGTTGCTCAGGGACTTCTACAACTATTGAGCAAAATTCAATTTTCTTTCAGAAAGCATTCCATTTTCTTTCCAGCTCTTAACCATTCGGTTGTTCATCGTCCTCGATGTCCTTTGCCAAACTTCCATATACTCACATTCAAACATAGAGATATTCATTATTTTTTACATAATTAATTTTTTTTTATTTCACTTATCGATCTTTTACTTTTCTTCTTCTTGTTCTTCTTCATCTCCTTCTTCTCCTTCTCCTTCTTCCCCCCCCCCCCCCTTTCCAACCCTTCTCTACTCCTTCTTCTCCTTCCCCCCCACTAACGGCATCGTTCATCTTTAAATGTCATTGTTGGATTTTCTTTTTGTGATTCCTCCACCAGAACATAGCTTAACCCCCTTGTTGCAATCATTCAATTATCTGTTTTCATTCCCATTTCATGGATGACGTACATTTCTCTTTCATCTTTCCGCTTACGGCTCACTTCTTTACTAGACTGTACATCATCGCGCACAACCCACAACAGCCACTTTTCAATTTCATTTTTTTCATCGCACTTAGCGGCCGTGCTATTAAAGCCGAGCTTGTCGTTCATTCACATTTCACTTGTTCCTGTCTCAGGTTATTTCTGTGATTTTTTGATTGAAGTCACTCATCCAACTTCATAATAAAATCCCATTTCAGTGATTAATCATTTGTTTGATGAATGGAAAACGACTGGATTGCCTATTGCATTTCTACCCTCTATGCTCGCCTTCCATCAGCCGACTCCCTCTCTCTCTGCCTCTCTCTTCCCTCTTTCTTATTCTCTCTATTCACTCCCTCTCTCTCTCTTTGAATCTTAAGCTCATTCCCATTATTTTCTTATTTTTTATTTGTTGTTTTGAAATGGCAATGTTTCCTCTTTCAATATCTCCTTTTGGTAATGAAATTTCTTAAAAAATTATTTCTTTTTCACTTAATCATCTCAGCAATGGAAATAAGAGTCGAAAGAGAGGAGAAAGGAGTGAGGCGAGAGAGGGGAACGGTCACTCTCAAATCCAATCATCTTGTAATCTTTCTCTCAACTCTCACATAATCAGCTTTTTATCGACTTTTAAGCAAAAATTCACTAAATTTCCGATAATTACTGGAAGTATCGGTCAGAGGCCTTTCTTCAACCAAAAACTTTCTTTCTCAACAGCAGAATTTTCGTTTTTCTTCATTCCAATATTCTCCTGCTCACTGCCTCTTTCTCTCTCTCTCTCTCTATCTATCTATCTCTCCTCTCTCTCTTCTCCTTTCTCATTCTTCTCCTTCATTTCATCTCCTTAGATATCTGAAAATATGAATTTCTATCTGAATTTCTTCAACTTTTATTTGTCTTTGCCATTTTTTTGGTTGTTTTTTTTCGAAAGTTACGAGAGAGACAAGAAGAGAGAGGGAGAGAGGAGGAAGAGAGAGAGAGAGGGTTTTTCTACTTGATTGATTCAATAAGTATTCTGACATTCGTTTCAATTTATTTCTTGATGGCCTTTGTGAGCTTTTCCTCTCATTAACGTTTTTCTTTGAATGTTCTACTCACTTTGTATTTTTTATTTCTTCGCCTACTCTCTCTCTCATTCTGTCAAAATGCATGCTCACCGCTTTGCTCATTTCAAAAATGTGTTTTCTTTCTTTCAGCTGTTGGTCACAGATCGATCTCGAACACCGGTGGAGGGTCAGCAAGCACCCTCCATCGATGTTTCAATTGACTTTACCAGACCAGATGGACAAAGAACGAGGTAAGCAAACGGAAGAGCAGCTATGATTCCTGTGTGAAAAGAGCAACAACAACCGAAAGAACAACAACAACAACAAAGAAGGAGTCAAGCAAGCGTGTGCGCGCATGCAAGAGTTGCCATGCGGATGGAGGAGAAGAAAACAAAAAAAAAGATTTTTTCCTTTCTTCTTCTAGCCCGCCTCTGGTGATGAGTTTCAAATGGAATATTTGGCTAATCAACGGCTTCATTTACGAATGTCCCGCCATATCGTTTTATTGTTTTTTTAATGAAAAATTTTTACTCAAAAACTTCTCAACTACATAGCTAGACGACTTCTGAAGGTCTTCTTCAACACGAATGACGTGGGAGTGTAAGCGAGAGAGAGGAAGACACACAAGCAGAGTGATAGACATAGAGAGAGAGAGAATGAAATGGGAAAAATTAAAAAATATATTTTATAGGCCGTTATTGGTTGAAAATAAACGTCTTTATGTGGATGAGCATTACATCTCCATCTGGTCTCCAGTTCTCAGGTTAACTTTCAAAGAATTTGTCCAAAAATGGAAAAAGACAAAGAGAGAGAGAGATAGAGAGAGAGAGGTAACAGAATGAGTTGGAGAAGTAAGGAGGGGAAATTGATTAAAATGTAATTTGAGATTTTCGTTTCCTGCGAATATTTGAATGAATTTGAGAAATTACATATGTAAATAGAACATTTTGTTTCTGAGTAACAAAAAATAGCCAAAAAGGTCCTGAAGCGACTTATTAGATATGGAGGAGCTGAAGTGATGGAGGTATCAACCTCTAACAGCTGGATGAAGGGAGATGAATGGAATGCTTTAACTAGAAATAATATATAATTAATATAGTTAAGCTTGATCTACTAACTATCTAATTGATATTACAGAGCTTGGTGTGTTGAATGTCCCGATAGAGAACTTATATTAGCGAATGTTCAATATGATCATGTGTTGGAGATGTTGGAATGCATTCATCCAACATATAAATCAATTGATGATCAATCAGTTCATGTTCTACTTCCATTAGCATATGATTATCAGATGGAAGGATTACTACATCGTTGTGAATGTTTTCTCATAACACATAATTTGCCATTTTTGGAAAAAGTATGGATAGCTGATAGGTATGTCTGATGTCATCATTCTACTAATCGATATATCTTTGTTATAGGTATAAATTAAATAGATTATTAGTATTATGCTTACGCGAAATGCGACCTCATAGTAAAGTTGATTTGACGGGTTCTCGATATTATGCTCTTAGTGATCGAGTCAAAGTTCTATTGCTCGAACGTTTACATGGTGCTCCTGCTCCTGAAGTATGTCTCCTCTCTTTACACTTTTTATACGTTTATTCCCAAATAGTTCAATTCATATATGTTCTATGATTATATTGTAATTTCAGGAAATACCTGAACCTCCATTGGACATGGAGCACTTTCAACGAGCAACTGACCTTCAATTTGCTGTCATACGAGCTAAGACTGGCAGACAATATTATGCAAATCCGTTCTACATAGCAGCTTGGTCGAATGTCTTTCAGGTACATCGAACTTCCAATCATGCCAAACCGTCGTCCAATGCTCTTTCGCAATCTTTCTCTACCCCTCTCTATCTCTCTGTATGCGGGTGTGTGTGTGTGTGAGGATGTTGCGCTATCCATCTCATCTCTGCTACTTCAAAAATATTCAATGAAAATTCTTGAAAAACATAACAAAAAATATAAGCAACCGCTTCATGTCTAGCATCTCCTTCTAAATGAGCTATTGACACATAAAAATGACGTGAAAGCAGTTACACGTGAAATTGACGTGAAAAATTGGAATAATTAGCATAATAAATGACTATTTTCAGGAAAGAGTCTATACAACTCCCAATGCTTTAGAAGAATTATTTTGTCCATGTTCTCATGAGGAATTAAAAGCATTTCTCATGGCTATACATCCACCTCAGCTTCGTATAACGGGTAATCTATTTAATTTATATTCATATAGTTAGCGACTGTCTGTAGTAGTATAGAAGTATCTAGACAATCTCATCTAATCATATACACATACACAATGCATAGTTAACAACATTACTCACTTATACATTATATGATCTTTGATTTCAGAGCAAAACATTGCTCCGGTACTTATGTCAGCTTGCAAAATGGAAAGTCCTGCTTTATTACGCAAATGCGCTATGATTCTATTAGCTCCTCAAACTCAGGTTTTGCATTTTCAATCTCATCACCCATACTCAGATAGACATGTTCTAGTTATCTGTATTCGTTCGATTATCATTACTTGATCGATGTTTTTTACATGAAATGATTCCTGCGTGTTTGGCGATGGTCCAAAGACCTGAACACTTACTTCAAATGACTCAACAGAGCACTTGTAAGCATCAAACAACTATTTGGACACTAAGAATCATAATGATTTACAGATGATTGTCTTTCTACTAGAGCAAAAGCTGCCATGCTAGATAGATTAACGTCACTGATGGTTAATCCCGGTCAACAACCTCATCACTGTAAACAGTAAGCATCTGTGTTAACACTTTTCATATCATTACCTTATTCAGATGTAAAGCCTATTCTCCATGTCAATCTGTTTCATGGATGTGTCCTCAATGTCGTACACATTCCAATGATATTAGTCTTTTACGTAATTCCACCAATGCCATTCAAAGATGATCTGTATATGGAAGAGGGACTGTGTATGTAAGCAGCTTTCGATCTCCTCTCCTACCCCCTCGTATATCTCCAATTTGAGATTGACGAAAGTACGAGAATGACGATCTCTTACATCACATCTCATAATTTATATTTTTCTTTTGTAATTTAATAAGAAAGTTTTATAATTTAATAATATAATTAACATAATTATATATAGTATAGATGGATAGGGGAAGGAATAGCATATCAACGATGAAGTTCAGAATGATTGGCATGAAAATGCTTTGAAGCTTTTCACGTTCTTCAGCCACATCTATAAATTATATATAATCATATAGTTAGATAGTGATCAAACACATATACTTTACCCCAACAGTAGTTCAAATGATAGACATCAATAAGATTCCATGGCAGCCAGAAGATACAGAGATATGTCATTTGAAAGACGTTCATAACAACAGCTGATAACTATTCATATAATTAAGTATTAAAGAACTATACAGAGAGAGATATATGCATGTACCTCATAGAATAATGAGATACTTCGAAAACGTTTTTCATCATTAAACAGTAATGAGATGAATAGGAGAATGGATATTGAGTTGATGATTATCTGTATTATCTCCAAGCAGCATTGAACTTGTGAAGGTGACGAAGATGGCAATATGGAAATCTGGTTGAACAAGCTCAAAGAATATTTCGAAAGCAAAAGAATTACCATAATGACAGCTGCTATAAGACGACAAAAGAATATGAAAATGGACAGAAATATTTGAAAAGTAGCCTTAAAAGGTAAAAATTGTTTTTGGCACTCACAACGAGAGTTACCTTCATCATTGTCGTTTACATGTACACAGACGTTATATTATATGCGGATGATATTGACCATCAGCATCATCATCAACATCATCATCATCATCGTAGAGAGCCTCCCTCACATGTAGCATTCTCATGTTTTTCATTTTTCTATCTTTGTCATCTGTACAGTTGCACGTGATTCACGTGAAGCCACGTGAAAATTCATTTCTTTCAGTGGTTAGACGGTTGAGACGGTTGTTGACTCATCTCTCTCTCCCTCTATAGATATATCTCAGTCTCTCTCTCTTTCTCTCAAGAAGCATCAACGAGAGAAAAATAAAAAAACCAAGAAAAAAAAGGTTTTCTCCCCCACCTCATACTCTCTCTCTGTCTCTCCCTCTTTCTCTCTCTATGTTGCCATCTCTCTCTCTCTCACTCTCCGCATGTACAGAAAACAGAAAAATCTTTTTTTCACTTCTCTTTCTTTTCTTTTTTTCTTGTTCAAAAAGGATGCGAATATGCTTATGAGCATAAGAGAGAAAAGTATGAAAGGAGAATAAGACAGAAGGAGAAAAGATAAAATTGGAAGAGAAAGAGAGACAAGACAGGAAGTGTGCTCCAGAGACCTGCCCCATATTGTTACTTTACTATATTTCTTTAAATGAACGAAAAGCTTTTTAAAAAGAAATTGTGAGAGAAAAAAAAAAGAAACAAAAACTTCACAGAGAAGACGACATTTAGAGAGAGAGAGAGAGGGATAGAGAATGTAAGAGAGAGAGAGAGAGAGAGAGAGAGAGAGTGAAAGAGTAAAGAGAGAGAGAGAGAACTAGAAAAAGAGGAGGAGAGAAAGAGAGATCGAAGAACTCTCAACGACATATCCGAGTTTATACTCAACCACAAAGCAGATCGCTTGTGTGTGGTATTTCATGCTGTTGTCGTCTGCCATTAGTTGATTAAAAATATTTTTATTATTACGTAAACTTTATTTATTCTAAAGCATAAGAATTTTCTTTTTTTTAAAATCTCCCTCAGCGTCAGCTCATCCTATTCCTTCAGCTTCTTCCCTTCTCTCTTACTCTCTATCCAACTAACCAACTCCTCCTCTGAACTCTCTTCCACCACCATCACCACCCCCTTCATGTCCTCCTCCCCCCCTTCTCCCGTATGCTTGTCAGCTCTCATTCAATTGAGAAGAAAAAAAAATTTGATGGAAAAAAGAAAACAGAAAAGGCAATTGCTCAGAAAATTGAAACTTCTAAACTTCAATCATCTAGGTTTTTGAAGTTTGTCCGTCCTTTCTTCCGTGTTTCAACTCAAATCTTTTGTTCTACGTCATTCGAGCTGTATGTCCTTACTATGTGAATGAGATGGTTTACTCCTTCCTCCTCTACTACTTCTTCTTCATCTTCTCTTCCTTTTCTGCGGCTGCTGCTGATGCTGCTACTACTACTACTGCTATTGATGGTGTTGTTGTTTGATAGATGAAGTTCACTAGCCTTCAAATGAGTAGGAAAGATTGTGAAGAATCAAAATGGGCTGCCATAAGAAGACAAGTAGTCGTGATTGTAACCTGAGATCTGTCCTCCTTCATCCTAATGCATAAACTACTGGAGGCTACAACTTCCTTCTTCTGCACTCTCGCAATGTCCTCTTCTCATCAATTAATTCCCAAAAAAACCTAATTTTTGTGCAAAAAAGAAGTCAATGGAACGTTGCATTATCCACGGGGCATTTTGATATTTTTGGAAGCAAGAGAAGAGGAAAAAGTAAAGAAAAGATGTAATCTAATCACATCTCTCACAATGGATATCGTTGAGAATGAGTTTTTCGAATTTTTGTTATTTCATTTCCCTCCCTCTCTCTCTCTCTATAGCTTTTTCTCCCTTTATGACTTTCCCCTTTATACTTTCTCTCTCTCTCTACCTCTCTCTCTCTCTATGTGAAGATTCTCTTCTTATGTCTCATGAATTCTAATTTCAGATATGTTTTCATCATCTCCAGAAACGTTTCTCGTAATCTTAGCCATTTTTATGTGTTCAATTCTTTTTATCTTCACCATCACCGTTGTAGTCATATTTCATTGTTGTCGCATCAAAGATATTCAGAATCTTCCGAATGCTGTTGTGCAGGTAAGACATCGTTTTTCATGGATTTCTCTCCTTCCTTCCACTTCTCCTTCACCTCAACTTCATCATCATCATCATCATCATCTTCATGCACACGTCCTTCTCACTTCATATTCCTTTCTACTTCCGTCTTTCGTTCTTCTGATGCTGATGCTTATTTTCTTTTTTTTTTTTGAAAAAAAAAAAGTTATTTTTAACAAATTCACACATGCACACAGATACACACACACACACACATGCACCCATACCCATACCCATACCCAAACCGCAAAAAAATTTCATTTTAAAACGAATTTTAAATAATTTGAAATTGACGTCACAATTCCTTATAAGGCATGACTTCCGTTCAAATTATTTCAAATTGATTCCCTTACCCCTGTCTCCTTTGCCTACATCCATCCTCAATCCCCTGTCTCTTTCTTCCTTCACCAACTTTCTCTATGGTTCAAATAAACTTTCAATTTGATTTTTGAATTCATCATCACCAGCAACACAACTACCACCACCAACTATGTAACAGAAGTATTGGAAAAGAAAGAAAAAGAAAATATTTGTAATCTGCTGCTTAAAGCCTCAGATTATGTTTTGTTCGCAGTCGTTCCATGATACGAATAAGAGAGTGAACAAGAAATTTTCTTTTTTTTTTCTGTTCACTCACACCCTTCCTTCCCATCAACTACAACTCGAATCCCCCCCAACTTCATTCACTGCCATCTAATCTCTCTCCCTCACTACCTCTCTCTCTCTCTCTCTAACTGTGTATTACTTTCAGCGAACACGAATGTCATATCATTGGGCACGTAATTCTGTATTTTCACTGCGACGTGGATCTGAATGTCCAGAAGATGAGGAAGATGAGAATTTCTTATCACCGCGTCGAGCACAACGAGCTCCATCCAATTGTACGACAACGGGTTCATCGCTATGCAAACAGAATTCGTTTGATGGAAGAAGTCCATCAGCTGTATGATATACGCAGATCAACAATGAAATTCAGATTTTTTATTATCACATTTGAAAATTGGCTAAGATGCAATGAACAAGAAAAAGAGCAAAAAACAATAAAGATTTGTATGTTCGAATGCTTTCAATGAGAATGATGATGAGGAAGAAGACAATGATGATGATGATGATGATGATGAGATATGTTGTGTTTCAAAGCTTTTCGGTGTTTCCTTCTGTGTCATCAAACTTCAGATTGAAGACTTCCACTGGCGTGATGAGAAATTGATGTTCTAAAAAGGAAAAAGCAAACATGTATCTCATCTGTTCAGCTTCCTCTTACCTGAAGAGATCATGGGCGTCAATTCGAGAAATTTCGCTGCTTCTTGATGAATTCATGCCGGGTGCTGATGTAGCCAAATATGCAGCGTTATTATAGCTTTAAAGCACAATGATTATATATAGTTAGTATAATTATATGATATACCTTATGCTATGATCTATAGATGGTGATGTGATAGGTGGTAAGGGTGTACTGGCTGTACGTATTGGAGTTGTCACACCAAACGTTGTGCTCTTCTTCTCCGGAGAGTATGTTGAATGCTGCTGTACATGTTGTTGCTTCTTTACATATAATCTATATAAGCATATAGGTTAGGTTAGGTATAAGGTATTGTCGAGATTACCTTTGCTTCTTGGGTGATTTGATTTTCTCAATTGTTTGAGCAACTAATTCACTGAATGGTGTTCGCTTAGCCATAAGTAAAACTCCGATGACGATAGGTAACAAGCGAATAACAAGCAAAACGAATAGGATTGGCTTTGAAATAAATGAATTCTCAATGTGTGGATCACATGTATTCTGTAAATAAGGTCTCTTCTTGTTTTATTGTTTCGACATTCATCTTACTTTGGGATTCATTCGTCTCTTATTGGTTGCATAGATGTTGTGATCAAAGGTACATGAGAATCTCATTTCCATCTGTTGTAAGCCTCCGGGATTGTGTGGAATTGCATGATTTAGAAGCTGAAATGAACAAAAAACTTTTTTTTTTCTTTTAATCTTTGTTTTTCCTTCTCTTTCATCATCTCACTCTCTCTCTCTCTCCTTCTGTCTCTGTGTTGCAGTCTGTCCTGTTCAGTCTTTCACTTCAACCGCAGCACATACACATCCACACATACAAGCTTCTAGGCTTACCACCACTACCACCCAAGAACAAATTTACTTTTTTTTGTTTTGTTTTGTTATTTACACATCAATTGAGCCAATCGTATGCTTATCACATAAGCCATACTACTTAGCCGAATTGGAAGTTTGTTTACAATTAAGACCTATTAAGGATGAACAGAAGGACCAACTACTGCTCATTCACACTGAATTAAGCTAAGCTCACCTGTTCAGTACTGTTGGGCAGTTGAGCGGAATATGGCATGATGACGAATGTAAATAAATGAATATCAGCAATACAATAGAAAGCTCCAATAATAACGAGAGTCTACAAGTCGTATAGATTACAGATGAGCATGATGAAAGTAGATCTTACCCAATAGAAGATTTTCAAACGGCCATTTCCAACAGCTGTTGTGAAGTACAATAGGACAACTAAGGATATGAACAAGTAACATGCTAACTCAGCAGCTAAGAAACACCATAGAATGGTTTTGTACTGAAAGGAGATGAATGTAGTATGATGTATGAGATTGATATATCCATACCGTTCGTTGATTACTCAACACTTCTAACTCTTTCGTATTCAATTGATATAATCCCAATAAGGCATTGTAATTGATTTTTGAAATGCTTATAGTTTTATCCAAATAATCAACTAGCTCCTCATAGACGCCTTTATCACGATAAGCATAGAATCCTAGAACGCATACAGAAATCTGAAATAGTTCACATCAGATTCTCGTTTGTACATCACAATGAACTAGTTCGAAGGTTATATTTCGAACAAAAGAAATCAACATTACACATAATTATAATAATTAACTTACAAAAACTGCTATTCCGAGAATGATTGCTATGAAGGCGGCTAACGATTCCCGCCATGTTTGTGCCTTGAAAATTCAAATTATTTTTTTCATATTCAAATATCTACGTGTATATTCCACGTGACGTGTTCACGTGAAACTATTGACACACATAGTCATTTTCATTTTCATTATCGAATAACGCATGGAACGGTTGTGTTTATGAAATAGAAAAGGAAGAACTCACTCCTTCGAATGTTACTCGTCCAGGCAAACTGGAAGTTGTTCGTGGTGGTAGAGGTGGTCTCTCGACCATTATACTGAAATGAACAAAGAAGGTAAAAAAGGTGTTGAGAGGGAGAGAGAGAGAATAATTAAAAAGAAATAAAGTTTTCAAAATATTTAGAAAGGAAATGTGAAATGCGCTTACGTAATCCCCTGCTTACCGCTTTCTACCTCTCTCCATCTCTCTCTATAACTCTCTCTCTCTGTATTTGAATGTCTAATGAAGGTTTTTCTGCCTTCTAATGTGTTTCTGTAAAAGGACAAGAAAGGAGGTAAATTGAACGACGTTTGACCTGTTCCTTCCATTAAATGAAATTTAATCGGATTTCAAAAGAAAATAATTTTCAAAAAAAAAAATTCTTTTTCTCTTTACAAATATGTCGACGTCGATGGAGGTAACGAACAGAGAGAGAGAGAGAGAGGAACGCCGAAGGGAAAATCGTAACTGAAGACAAGAGAGAAGGAGGTTCAGTGAGAGGTAGAGAGAGGATAGGGTGAGAGGCCGTACACGAGAATATAATGTTCATAATTAACTTTAATTATATATATAGTACAAGGTAAATGAGAATAAGATAATTTAAAAAGGAAAAAGACTTTTTCCGAATGCGGGGAGGAAGAGGCCGAGAGGTGGGAGGGGGGGGGCATGGGTGGCTGGTTAGGTTATTAGGGTTTTGTACTTAGTGGTTGGCTAAAAGAATAAACACAAAACCTTCGAAGGTCGATCAATAGATCTCTTTTCCATATATGCAAAGAAGGTAACAGAGGTACAATTAGATTGACAAAAAATGAGAGATGAATAAGATAGTATATAATGTAAAGAGGATTAGAGATATCTAGATAGAATAGTGGAGACGAAGACGTCAAAGGACTATAGAGGTCACACCAGCTGGGAAGGTAGACAGACGAACAGAAGCAAAAAGGGAGAAAACCATGGGGGTGGGTGGATGGGGGCAACTAACCTCATATTGGCTGGCAGCAGCTATTTATTCAAATTTTCTGATCACATACAGAAGAAAAAATCAATACGGTTCTGAGATGTTGTATATGGTTTGTTGAAGGTGATACAGAGAGAGAGAGAGAGTAAGATGAATGCGAATGGAAATGAGAGGAAGTGTGTAGTTTTAACAGAGAAATGACCTTATATGAAAGAAAAGCTATTAATTACTTCATCACAAGTCTTCTTTCATTTCATTGAATGAATAAGAAACCTTTCGAAGGTTCTATTGGCTTTTCCCATGAAATGAAAGCTTTGGAGAGAAGTGATATACAAGATGAGACAAGGAGAGAAGAGACAGTAAGTGAGAATCATCATCACACGGTCTACAGGTAAGGATGAGCTCGAAAGCCTTGAAAAGACGCTTGAAGTTTCATATGGGTAACACAACAACAACAAGGAAAATGAAGAAGAAAATAAAAATTTCCAGAAGGTTATGATGATTATGAAGTTGGCAAGAAGAAGAAACACATTCAAATAGTATTACAAAGGAGATATTAGGTTGACAGACTGAGCGAATATCATTTGCCTCCTTCAGCATGTCATTTTGGAGGTAGATTCCTCTAGTGTTTATAAGAAAATCGGCTTCGACATCAGTTCAAAGAAAGAATAGAATGAAAGAGAAAGGTTGGAAAAGAGAGAGAGAGATAATGAAGAATAAAGAGATTATAATAGAGAGAGAGAGAAAGAGAGATTGGTGACGGACGTATGTTATGTGGTAGCTGTAAGAGGAGTATCAATGGCCCATCGTCAAGGACATATCTGACCTAACTTCATAAACTCTCTCATTTCTTAATAATCTTCATTAGAAGTGTTTTTTTCTCTCTCAACTCTCTTTAATAATAATCTCTTCTTATAACTGATTTCATAAAGATAGAAATATAAGTCGATGAGATAGAGGTCTGTTGTAGGTCCGTAAATGGCCAAGGTTGAGAGAAGATAAGTTGATCTCAACACTCTCTCACACACTCTCTCCCTCTCTCTCTTTCAACTCTCTCTCTGTTTCAGGTGTACTCTTTCTATTCTAATTCGTGTCTCAAGAGTTTTTTAATCTCTCCGATCTCTTTTATCTCATTCACCTTTTTTTCCAGAGCATTCTCACGCTCATTTCATTCTGCAAATGAACTCATCAACCTTTGATGACTGATGATGGGATGACTACATGAAGTCAGAGTCTGAGTCAATGAATGTAACTCACAATTATCATTTTGTATTATTATTGTTTACATCAATAGAATGAATAGATGGAACAGAAAGATTTCAATCATTAGACGATCATTCCTCCGAAGCCTCATTAACCTGAATCTGACCTTAACCAATTCAGAATCTTGTCGTCTGTCTGCAACCAATGCGAAAGGGTGAATTACAAATTGAAAACGAGACGCAAAATATGAAAAAGAATTTTAAAATTCAAAAATGTCTTATTAAAACAAAAAAATGTAATCAGATGATAGATATCTTATATAGATAATCTATCTTAACTATATATAAATGGTTAATGAAGATCTCTTCCGACTATTGCCATCTCCATCACCGGAAATGCCGCTACACGTAAGTTCCTTATACTTCTCTTCATATAACTAACTCAACATGTCAAATGCATATATGTACATCTTTTGAGTTTATAAACTCATTTTCATTCTTCGCTTCAATGCTTGAGTTAGCGGTCAGTGCGATTGTAATCATTCAATGCTGCAACAACGAGTGAGCGGTTCGAATTTGGTTTCTCAACATACACCTTCATCGAAAAATTCAAAGTACAAGCTTCTCTCATACGGTGTGACAACATGTACGGCGATCTACGATGCCATTAGACTTCCTGGTTCATATGTTGTTCAAGAACGAACAACATCAGTTGAGAATTGAGATTTCATTGAATTCAACGAGAAGAGCGTCTTATCATCTGCCAATGTATCATCTCATCTACTTTCAAAACAAATATTATTATTGTACAATAAGGAAATTATTAAAAAATAATTATTTTCAAATACAACACAATGATTTATGAGCTCTCATTTAACAGTTTTCTTCTGTCCGGTTCTTAGATGATATTGGGTTTTGGGGCATTTCATTTGGTTGAAAACACGAATGAAAGTACCTTCGAAAGTCTTTTTTCTCTTTTTGAAAGTATAGAGAGAGAATCCCTCCCTCTCTCCCTCCTTATGTGTCATTTACCTCGGTAACTCTGCAAAAGCCATTTTTAGTATAGTGTAAACGTCATCACCTTCTTCGAACAATCAGATTTCAATCAACTTCCCTCTCTTTCTCTCCCTCTCTCTCTCCCTCTCTCTCTACCTCTGTTTTTACTTCCAAAAACCCTCGTTAATGACTCGCTGAATAGACATTTCGTCTTTTTCTTTTGCAAAATTTGCTTTTTTTGAAATAAAATTCAAGTTGAGACAAGCTGAAGAAGAGCTACAAACGACCGTTCCTTATCTGAATTTCATCTTAACTTCTCCATCGAACATTCAGTTCTTCAAAGCTTTTTTTCTTTTTTTTTTACAAATCCAACTCCTTCTCATGAGGTGATTCGAATACACGTTTGACCACACACAACCTGTGTTTTGATTTTTGGAAGTCTTTCATCTTCTGCACGCCTTCTACTCTTACGTCTTCATCTATACCCTTCTTCTGTCTCTCTATGCTTTGCCCTTCCAGTCTCGTGTACCTCTAGGGGTAGTTAACAAAGAAATCAGTTGTATTAGTGTTCTTGTGACTTCTACTGCACCATGCAACATGTCTGAACCTCCGTCCCACAGTGATACCTCTCATCTTTTGACTCTAATTATCACAACATATTTTCTGTTAAATTGTCAACTTTCTCATTTTCATCTCACTTTTTTTTCTTTTTCCTTCTACGGCCACGTGATAATCAGACTCTCTAGCGCGACTTGCTAAATTCGCTCCGCCTATCCTGTTACCGTCATTTTCCTTTTTGAATTTCATTTGACAAGCCTAAGCCTATCTGAAGTCATGCCTCCCGCACATAGTGATGAAGATTTGCTTGTAAGTTTCAACATGATAACAGCTAACAACAGCAATCAACATGACCGAGCTCAATCATCTCAAACTCCTTCTCTGCTGCATTCAGCTTATCATCCTCAATCAACCTTATGCTAGCAGAAGCTGAAGCATCTTGCAATCCTCACTAATCCTATCTCCTTATTCAAAACTTAATTTTTTAATTTCAGAAGTACGCAATGGAATCATATGTCGCTGACATCAACCAAGATGGTGGACGCACAACCATCATATTCACTTTGAAAGAACAAGCTGGAGCTTTAGCTGAAACGCTTAAAGTCTTTCAGGTGCAGCTATTTCCTATTATGGATATGATGTAGGAGAGTGTTAATGAAGGATAGAAAAGATGATTATATCCGAATACTTTTGAACATATTAATTATATAAGTCGTTTTGTCACGTCAACAGCAGCACGTGTGATGACGTGTGACCTATCCAGAAGTATGATGATAAAAGGTGGTGGATAGGTATGTGGGAGAGGGTGTAGAAGGTAAGGTAGGGAGGTGGTTGAGAAGCGCGGGGGGGGGGGGGGAATGAACAGTTGATCTCACATAGTTCGTGTTCTACTATCTTTGCTTTGCCTTTTTTGGATAAAAAACGATCGTTATAGTTAGATTGTTCCAAAAAAGGTAATCAAATTAGTTGTCGTTTCAATGACAAAAACATAATTGGTCTTTCGGACAATTAAAACAAAGAATTGCATCATTAAGAGAGGAATTTTGAACTTTTGAACCAGCAGACAGCCATCTCACAGCTATGATGTAATCAGTGTTTAGTTGAGAACAGTTTATGGATGTAGAAGAAGTCAATTCATTCTATTCTATCTTCATTTATGCATCAGGCTATAGTAGCAGCATCAGTAGCACACACTTGCAAGCATTACAGACAGCTATAAGGCTGCAAATGGAGAAGAGAAAGGATTGGCTATAATCCAATCATCTCTTATCGCATGATAAGACAAGTGATCAGACATAGTAGATGATAGAGATCTGTTAAGAGGGAATGAGAATCAACATAGACAGACATAGAGAGAGTGTAAGAGAGGAAGAGAGAGAGAGAGAGAGAATCATAATTCTCTTGATTTGATTAAAAATGAATTTAATTTGTCTTCAAGTACAATCATATTTCTTCTTTTAATTACAACAGTTCTTCAGGCTCATCAAGTTAATTTGTCTCATATCGAATCGCGACCATCCAAACATCACAACGGATGTTATGAGATTCTGGTTGAATGTGAGGAAAATGCTGAACAAACCAAGATTGAAGAAGTATACCATATATGGACATCCCATCTCATACACTCACTTTCAGATCATTCAACTGTTCAAGAAACGTGGAGATGGATTGATCGTTCAAGATTGGAATGCTAAGAGCAAGCAAAACAAAGGTTTGAACAATGCTCTAACTCAATCATACTGTATGATTGTTTGTTACAGACTCTGTACCATGGTTCCCAAAGAAAATTTCTGAAATCGATCAATTCGCTAATAGAATCTTGAGCTATGGAGCTGAATTGGAATCTGATCATCCCGTAAGTTCTAGCATATATCATCAATTTGCTCACGTGAATGACATTATGTAATTGACTCTCTCATAGTAGAGTCACGTCAAACATCCACGTGTTGTTTCATTCGATTGTATGCACCTGATGTGAACGGTTGAATGTTGTTGATGACAGTTATGCACTGAGTGAATTCATTTTCTCATTTACAGGGTTTTACTGATGAAGTTTATAGAAAAAGAAGAAAATACTTTGCTGACATTGCCTTCAACCATAAACAGTAACATTTCATTTTAATTTCGTCATAAAACTTCTTTTTTTTTCTTTCAGCGGAGATAAAATTCCTCGCATCGAGTATACGGACCAAGAAAAAGAAACTTGGAAAACGGTCTACAATCAGCTTACAACACTATACAAGACACATGCTTGCAAAGAATTCAATTACATCTTTCCACTTCTTCAACAGAATTGCGGATTTGGAGCTGACAGCATTCCACAGCTTCAAGATATATCTGACTTCCTTCATGGTAAACCTCAATCATCATAACCAAGACATACAATGCTATTAAACAGATTGCACTGGTTTCACTTTACGTCCAGTAGCTGGCCTTCTCTCATCACGTGATTTCCTTGCCGGTCTAGCTTTCCGTGTATTCCATTCAACACAATACATTCGTCATCATTCTGATCCCAAATACACTCCAGAACCGTTAGTTACTGTTCTCCTTACACTAACAACTATAAATCGTTTTCAGAGACATCTGTCATGAACTTCTCGGACACGTTCCTCTCTTTGCTGATGTCGAATTCGCACAATTCTCTCAAGAAATCGGTTTAGCTTCCCTCGGTGCTTCAGATGACACCATTTCACAACTCGCTACAGTAAGATAAGCATATTCAGTGCTGAATGATACCGTTCTCTTCAGCTTTATTGGTTCACAATCGAGTTCGGTTTGTGTGATGAGAATGGCGAGAAGAAGGCCTATGGAGCCGGTTTACTCAGTTCATTTGGTGAACTCCAATACTGTTTAAGCGATAAGGTTTGTGAAGTCATAAGATTGAGAATGGAATGTCTCATTTCAGCCAGCCGTTGAGCCATTTGAACCATCAGTTACATCAAAGACCATCTATCCAATCACTGAGTATCAACCAAAATACTTCCTGGCCGAATCATTTTCAAATGCAAAGAACAAGTTGAAGTATGACATTGCTCATTGATTCTCATTACGAAATGGTTTGATTGCAGAGCATGGGTATCAACGATTCCTCGTCCATTCCAAGTTCGTTACAACGCATACACACAACGTGTTGAAGTATTAGACAAGGTTTCTGAGATTCAGAGATTGGCCCGCGAAATCAAGAGTAACATCCATCATTTTAACAACTCTCTATCATATCAATCACTATTGCAGGTGAAATCACAACTTTGGAAGAAGCTCTTGGAAAGGTTGGTCCTCTTCTCTAAGCCGTTCATGATCGACTCATAACGTCTGAAAAACCCACGACCATTGAAACCATTTTTCATTTTGAATCTTAACTGTCTACAACTGAATTCAAGTTTCGACGAATAAAACATATTTCTGCAGAGACAAGAGTTTCTTCATTAAATCTTTGTAAGAGAATGCAAAAAACTGAAACATAGTACATGAGATCTCTTGGAAGAGAGAAGAAGATGATTCGATGAAATGGAAGAAGAAGAAGAAGAGAGAGTTTCTTACCCGTCATGAGCCAATCTCTTTTTATTTCAATTGCGTTTAAGCTCAAACGAATCCCTGCTCAACTGAATAATCCATTGAACGCACCAACTGTTCCATACATTCTTGATTTTCAGAAATCAAATATATTTTTTATAGATGATCAAGAATGATTTGATTACGATCAAGTTAATTATGAGAAGTTGAAGGTGGTGAGAAGGTTAGAGAGTATACGTGATCATGAATTGATCCGAAATTGATCTCAAACCAACTAGTCTAACTGAGTTATGCAGTTAAGTTTAAATGAGAAGAAGGATGAGAAAGAGACATAGAAATATGAAAGAATAAAAAGAGAGAGAGAGAGAGAGAGAGAGAGAGATAGAGAGATAACCAACCGGTCTATTACGCGTCAAAAAACACAAATGAGTTTAAGACATCAAATTCCCACGTGTAGTTGACGCGTGCCAGTTCCACGTGTCTACAATCATCGGTATGCTAATTCCATTTGGAACAAGAAAAATATAATGTTGATCGGATTGATTAGAGATGATAAAAGTAAATAAAAATTTGCTCAATTATGCACAATTTTATTGAAAAAGAGAGAAATCTCCCCCCCCCCTCTCCCCGCGTGGGTTGAGTTATCGGAAATAGCGGCTGTTGTCTTTTGTTCATTCGAACCATCTTCTTCTCCTCCTCCTCCACATTCTATTTTTACAATAAAAAGTATTTCTTTTCAACAAAAATTTACTTTTTTGTTTATCTTTTTATCAATCGTATACCATTTGCCTTATATGTATAAGCTTGGATGTTGAAGCTGATGTCCTTGTATGGTCATTGAGTGATCTCATCAGTTGAATCTATATTGATGTTTGTAGCTTAGAATAGCTTCGATGTAATATGATATGTGATTGCTTTCTAATCTTTGACTGATTAGTTTAAATATTTTTTGTTGTTTTTCCTCTTTCCTTACCCAACATTCAACACACCGCCTAACCTCCTTATGTGTTTGATCGCCCTGGGCTATTCGATGATCCTCGCTCTGTGAGCCCATTAGGCTTACAAGAGGTGGTTATAAGGTTTTATTTGTTATTTTGCATTTGATGAAGATTCATTTGAACGATTATTCAATCTCATTCCAGCTGTTTTCTCCTACTGCCTTGTGCTGTTGCGAATAGATCATCTCTCTTCAGCATTATAGTGAATGAACAGAAGTAATTGAATTAAAAAAAAAGTTACCAGAGAAGTATAGAGGGAGAGTGAGAGAGAGAGGGAAGAGGGGTAGAAGAAGCATAGAGAGTGAACGGGAGAAAACAAGAGTTAGGGCGAGAGATGAGGTGAGGATAATGAATGAGCAACATAAGGGAGAAAGAGAGAGATAGAGAGAAAGAGAACTGATATTAGAAAGATGAGGTCTGAAGGTAGAAATTGGCCAATGGCTAGTGCTGAGAGAAAAGAATTTTGTAGCTCAAACTGACGGATAACAGCCGCCTTCATCTTATATCTTAAGCCTTGAAGAATCTTTCTTCTTCTTCTCTTATGCTTCATCTTTGTCTTCGTCTAAATATCTTGCAATATTCGTTTTTAACATCATCACTTATAGTTTTATATAATCATTGGTTAACTATACGCATAGTTAAGTAACTGTTCGTCTTCTCTCCTCATGTTTCAATTGCAATTTGTTTCGTTTTATTTATTTAAACTTTTATGTTTCTACAAGCCATTCTCTCTTTCTTTCCCTCTCTCTCCAACTTCTCTCTCTTTCCCTCTCTCTTCTACCACCTCTCTCTATATCTCTCATTATCTCCTTTCTTGTAATAATTGAGAGCTTAAGCTCTCCTCTCCATCTTGCACGCCCTTCCTCCTAACTGTTGTTATCTTGTAAGGTGTTTGAGAAACAAAACTCTCTGTTAATCGTTTTTACAATGCTTTAACACATAAACTTGACTGAGACGATGTATAATGAAGAGACCCAGAGATAGCTCTTACTATCTGATGGTTCAGCTCAACAGCACCATTGATACTTCCTTGACAACATTTCCAACAAACTTCTTTCAAATTGTCTGTTGGTTAGTGTCCATTCATGAGTCCTCTTGACCATTCGACCTATCGATGACTTGTCAAAGTACTACCTCTGTCATCTTTTGCTAACATGAAACTGCATCTCAGATTAGGAAAACCAAAGAGCAGTAGTAGCAGATGAGAGATTTGGTATGTTGTAAGAGGAATGAGATGAAGCAGTGGCAAAAGCCAAAAGACTAATAACCTGCACAAGTATCAGAACTAAAAAATAAAAAAAAAAGAGCAACAGTCGTTTATCCATTTGACCAGAGCAGGCGTTCAATAAGAAGTCCTATCAGCTCATCCTTCTGTCTCGCATGCCATTTTACTTTTCCAAGATTTGTGTTGAAATTGAAAAACTTCATTGGAACAGCTTTCTTATACAATAAGGTGTTGAGATAAGAATTTATATTTTTAAGGAAGCCTATAAGTATACATTGCAAATGCTATTAAGAATAAGGTATATGTGGAGAGACTTCCGTATCCCGTATTGGTGAAATGATCTTGGATAGAAAGAAGGACTGCCCTGTTGAGTTCATGGACTCCTGTCCAAACTAGGGAAATAGCTGAAGCATGAGAGAGATGAATGATCATGACCATATTCGACCTCATCATTACTCCTTGTGAACTTTTAACAACCTCTATTCTCTATTTTTTTTAAAATCTTCATAAGTTTCATTGTCCACTAGACAGGAGGATGAAAGTCTATGTGGTCAAGAGTGTATGTGTGGGTCTGCTGGATTTGAAGTTTGAAAATGAAAAAAAACGATGATGCCTATATCTTCTCATGCAAAAGCTTTTTAAAGAAGCTGGCTAGTAGGGAGCAAGAGAAGGAGAGAATTTTGTTCTTGTCTTTCATATTTTTCATTTTGTATCATCTGGTTTGTCCACAAACGCCTGAGGGCGTATTTTGGGGATGTGTAAAGCATTGAAATAGATAAAATTTCAGAGAAGATTCTTCAAGTAAACCAAGCCATTTGTTATCTTATATTTTAATTTTCATGAAGTTATAAATGGATTTCTAAACAGTTTCACAAAGATATATATAGACAGAGAGAAACATAGAGAGAGAGAGAGAGATGCACAGAGAGAGAGAGAGTATGAGAGAGAGAGAAACAGGTGGAAAGGTGGAGCTGAACGAGATTAGCACTGAATGAGGTCTTGTCTTGAAATCTTCTCTGTCTTGTTTGCTTCTTGTCCTCTTCATCATCTTCAAATCCGTACATTAGACATTTCACTTGTGATTCATGTTTTTGACATCATCATCATCATCATCATACAGTTTCTTTGTTGTTTCATAATTTCAATTCTGTTCATCTTCATTTTTTGTTCAAAAACAACAAAAACAATCGTCAAGAACGAGATATTGTGGGAAGGAAAAAGCATTTTTGCTTGACTCTCCTCTTCATTTCTCTTCATTTGACTAATCGAACGAGCATTTCAATGAGATTAACAACAGTAACAACCAGTAGTAGAGAGAGTGAGCGAGATAGACTTGTCTATATCTCTCTTACACTCATCTTCTTCTCTGATCTTTCAAATATCGCACTTCTAGGCTTCACATCTATCTATTGCATACCTTCTGATGATCTTCCCCCCCTCTCTCTCTCTTCCTGACTCTCTCTCTCTCTCCCTCTCTCTTTCTTTTCCTTTTCTTTTTTTATCTTACAAAAGTATAAAATACTCATCGCTCTCCTTCTTATCGTTATTATCAAGACGAAACACAGAAGCATCACGTCGTCGAGTCTGTATGAGAGACAGTTATGATGAATGAGATATACAGATAGAGAAGATGATGAGAGACGCAAAATAAGATGAAAGTATTGTTTGTCCTCATCGTCAACCAACTCATTTTTAATGTAAAAGTCGTCAGTAGAGGTGATGAAGCTGATCGACACACAGATAATTTTCTGATCGACGGTTTGTTCATCGTCGCTGACAAAAAAAAAAGGAAAAAGAAAAAAAGAATTTTCGTGTCTGTGTGCGATTGATCAACCATGGCATCTCTCTTCTTCTCGTATCTGATACTTATGTGACGTCTAGAGTGTATGTTAGCTGATAAGTAAAAGCTTCTTCAACCTCAGTTTTTTGCGACTATTCGGCTTTCTTTCGAATTTTTCATTAATTTAACGAATTGTCAATCGTTACGACATGCGATCATCTTCGTCAATTGAACGAATCCACGAACGTCCCATGTCATCTGAATCGACAGCGAATTCTTCATCTATCCCGATTATTCAATCTAATAATAATCTTCAAATTGATATGAACTCCGAAATGACTGATTCTGGAGTCTTCTTGTCTCCAATCATTTCGCCTCAACCAGAATCCTTTTTGGAAGAGCAACGCTTTGTTCTATCATCTGATTCTGATATATCATTAACACAATCATTAGAGCAACACAAGTATTCTAATAATCCATATGAAAACTCGTGTGATAGCTCATCGTTAGAGGAAGAATCGGAAGATGAATACTCATCAGATGAATACAGTCAGACGACGTCACATCATCAGAATACTGAGAGAGTTGAAAATAGAATATTATCATCAATTCTCAGTTCGTCCAATATTGCTTCTGCTCTATCATTTCTTATTTCTGATCCCATTCAATTGATAGCAGAAGATTCTATAGCTGTTCTTGGACTACAAGTAAGTGTCTAGCAGAGAACGAAAGATGACTGAGTGAGTATGAGTAATGCAGACAGAGAGAGAGAAAGGAAGAAAATGAAAACGAGGCAGAGAGGATGAATGAGCAAAAAAAGGAAAAACAGTTGTTAACTTTGCGACTTCGTACTTCTTCCTCTTCAACAGTTTTTTTATCCGTCACATCCTTCATTCTCTTCCTCATTTCATCGTTGCCGTCCTTCAGGATTCACACAACGTGTGAATGTGCGTGTTTCAACCTACTCCTCAAGCATTCATGTTAATTTTTATTTTTTCTTATTCTTTCTTGTTCCGTTATACTGTCTTTGTCTTCAGATAGCCACTATGGTTTGTATGGCTTGTAGTTCTTGTTGTTGTTGTTCATGTCGTTGTTCACGTTATCGTACATCTGGCTCAGCTTCATCTGCGGAATACGATGTTGAGCCAGCGTCTTCGTCAGCATCAACGTCTTCGTCTACGCCTGGTTTCATTGGTCATTCTGCGTGTACTGTCCGAACGTCAAATGCATCGTCTACATCATATAAATCGCGATTAATTGGAAAACGACGACGTACATCAAGGGTTATCAATGATTTTCACCAAAAATCAACTGATTCCTCTGATGACGTTGATCGTATCCTTTATACGCCGCCTGTTGACGTTTCTATTCCGTTACCATATATTGATATTGATGGGACTGATCCCGATTGTTGCAGAACCAAACGGAAACCCGGCTTTCGCCCACTTCGACGATCCAGTGCACCAGCGTGAGTTTTAATACTTCGTTATATTGGAGAATTCTATGAGCAACCGTTCTCTAGCTGGTTTTTGAGTGGAAATGGTTTTCAAGCGTAATTCGGTTTACGTGAAATACGTGGAACTTTCCGTGAAAACGTGAGAAAGTGAAGCTTTTCCGTGAATACGTCAATCGTTTGAACTCCAATTACTATCAGTGTATGACGTCACAAACGTTTTTTTAAATTTCAGAAGCGGTCTTGCCGCAGGATCTTTAGAAGAAGTTTCCAACGAACAGCGACCAAAAACAAAAGGAAAAATGGAGAGGCCAGGGTTCTTCCAAGTGAGTTCTGAGTTCGTCTGAGAGAACAATCGAATGAGTTGAAAAGTTTTTTTTTGTGCAGCGAATGATTCTTGTGATTTTGGAACACAGTTGTTGCAAGAGATTTCCTGTTTGTATAAGCTCTCGAGTTGAAAAAAAAAGAAAAATAGAATAGAGAGAGGGAAAGAATGAGAGGAGAGAGAGTGAGAGAGAGAGAGAATTTAAGAGAGTGATAAGGATCGAAGAGTAGAATGATAAAAGGTCATATGAAAGATTTGTGCTTACAGAGATGGTTCGGAGGAGGAGGACCAGAATCTGAACAACAACAACAACAACAAGACACAAGAGGACGACAAATTCAACGAGAAAGACGATCTCCTACAAGGGATGAAGATGACTATGCGACAATTGATCGAATCCGATATGGAAAGCGAGAATGTAAGCTTTGAAAAGTAGTTTTTCTCATTTCTATATTCATGTTTACAGTATCCATGCCAGCCTCACCTCGAAGCGTTCACTTCGTGGATGATTCAGGTCTTAATAGAGCGCATTTACAATACAGACCTCGGGGTAAGTACAAGTTGTGTTAACGATGTTACATGTTCAACCATATTCAGGCGTAGGTAATCCTCGTGGACCAGGATCTCGATCTATTCAAACCTCACTTAACGAACTTGACCAAGCAACTCTTGATCTGCTTAAACTATCATCTGAACCAGAACGTAAACGGCAGCATACAGCTTTTAATAATTCCAAACGGTTTGATCAGCATATTTGAATTCTTGTTGAGACATCTCCTTATAGGGTAAACACAAATGCGGATCATTTGCAAAAAGCTGCTTCAACTAGTTCAGTTAATCGATATATCAAAACTCAAGTAAGCTCAACATATCTTTCGAGTTTATTGATTGCATTCTTCTCATAGGACGGAGGTCAATTGAAAGCTTCAAACGTTTTCACATGGGATGCAAATCAAAGTGGAAGATCAGAATCCGAACACGATCTTTCTGATGCTGAGCATTATAGATCGGTGAGTCCTCTTTCAAATCGTTTTGTAATCGAAAAACCTCTTCCACGGTATAAGCATCATACATATTGTTTACAGGTCGGTTTATCCCCTCAGGCTATTCGAAGAAATGAGCAAATTCACACCAAAACGAATACAATTCCTGTCCGTCAAACGGAAGCGGTTGTAGAATATGAAGAAGAACGAAAACTACCTCCTGTTGTAAGTCTTCAGCTTTCTTTGTGATATCTATGTATGGTCATTGAAGGTTCGAACAACGGTTGAAGGCAAGCTTAAAATGGAAAAAATTGTTGGAGCTGACTTGATTACTGTCGATAGTTGCATTTCCAGCGCTTGGACAGTCAAAGACACTGTAACTAACTATAAGGTGAGTATCTGATGATGAATGAAATGCTTCTATTTCATTCTTCAACTTGTGTTTCAACTGTTACCGGTCGTGTTGTTTCAGATCAAAACAACAATTGGAAAGAAAAGTATCATCTTAGAAGAAGTCAAAGATGGTCAATCGAAATACAAAATCACTCTCATTGAGAATGGTCAAACGAAAATGGAAAGAGAAGCGAATTTGGATGTTCCAGACTTTATGGTTAGTTAGTTAACTATATGATATCAAATGTTTTCATAACTCATCTATCTATACTAATATGCTGTTGATGTGTTTCTTGGCTTCAATGATAGGATTGAGTCATCTTTCCATTTTTATTTTGCTTAACTATACAACATATAGCTAACCATCATACTTATCTATAGCATAGTATATCTTGACAATGGAATGGCTTTGCTCTCACTCATCTGTACTGTTTTGCTTGGCTTTCTTTAGTTAGTCTTTAGAATATCAATCGATGATTTCAGATTATGAGATCCATTTAAAAACTAATTTAGAACATAAAAAAAAAGGTTCAGAATAGACTTGAGTGACGTCATAGATATACATACATGCAATAGATAAGCATCATCTTCCGTTTGAGACCCAATATCTGAGGATATATAAATCTGTATAAAGACATCCGCATATTCCTGATTATTAACTGCTTCATTCATTTTCATTAGCTACAGCTTAACAGCTTATTATTAACTTTTGCTTTTTTTCAGAACAAGAAAGATTATCTTGCTGAAGTTGGACAGCGTCTTCTACAAGATCTTCGTGAAGACGGAGAAGATGTCTCTGCTGTAACTCATGTGGAAATTGAAGTTATTGAAGATGTTACAAACATTCTCAAAACCTATGTTATCGGTGAACGTGCTGATGATTGGTTAGAAGAACCTGTACCACAGCTTCATTATGAAGAAACAGCTGATAATACGCCACCACCGGTTGAAAAAGTCGAAAAGCTCTATGTTGACGAATTTGATAAAGCCGACGAAGAGCTTGTCGATCCTGAAAAGGCTGATATTCATTTGGAAAGAGACGGAAAGCATTATGATGGGGAAACATCATTACGACGATTACGACGACTTGAAACAAGTGATTCTATTGAAAGTCGTGCAACTGTCGAACCTCGATGTTCTCATGCATTTGCTGACTGCGATTTGGTACGTAATGAGGACAGCTCTAACTATACTGTACGTATTGCTGTTCCTCTTCTACATGCCATTTCCCTTCTGCTCAAGCGACGACCTTTACAACGACAACAAAAAGCTGTTCAAGAAATTGTTGAAGAGCAAAAGGTTGTGGTTGCTGAAGAGAAGCCAAAGGAAGAAAAGGTTGATGAACACCGGGCTAAAGTTATACAAGAAATGACTCAAATAACTGAGTTTGAAGAAATTCGAATTGAAAGTCGATCTGCTCGTGAAGAACAACCAAAACAGAAGAAAGAGCCACGTGAAGTTGAAGCTGAAGGAGCTAACTATGAAATGCTCCAAGATGGTCAACGATTTACTGGCGACACCGTTATCCGTCGTCAAGGACGCGCTGCTGACTCTGAATCTTCTGAAGAACTTCCTCCACCTAAAAAGATCACTCAGTTTATCGAAAGAGAAGCTGAAGGTGGACAATACGAACTTGAAGTGGAAGGAATTAATATTCGTGGAGAGACTCACTTACGGCGAGGCGGAAACAAACGATATGAATCAGAATCAGACGAATCAGTTCAATGGAACAATGGATCTCCTACCTTAGTCGACTTGATCAAGAAGGAATCCAGTTCTTACTTTGAAGTTTCTTTGGAAACTCCAAACAATTCTGAACCACTTGAGATGAATGTGAAACGAGCTGTTATGAAGAAGGAAACATGCGATGTTAGCTGTAGCTTAATGCAGCCAACAACAGATTCTGAAGAAGCTAGTGGAACAATGAAGGACATCAATCGTTGGTCCGAAACGTATAATGGACGCGAACTCGGCGAAGAATACGTTACAGTTGCATTCGGTTTACAAAACCTTCTCCAATCTTCTCAAATTGCTCAAGAAACGGAGAAAAACCTGTCTGCTATTGGTCAAGCTTCCGCTACTGGCCGTTTCCGCGAAATGCGCGAAGAACAAGCTGTACTTATGTACGGATTTGAGAATAGCCTGAAAAACAAAGCTCGTGCTGAAGCAGAGCACGTATCAGCTGAGAAGCTGAAACAAACAATATCCTTTTATGCCGCCGCTGCTGAGCTGGAACAGATCGAGACTACGTGCACTATTGCCCCATCCGATGCCGAGACTGGTCGCGCTGGTGTTGAAACAACACGAGCAATGCCGCTCGTCTACACTCTGGCAGGTACGTTACTTGAGAGTTCGTCAGAGCAAGCGACTAGTTGTCTGTTCCTTCAAAAAGACCCAGGCACTAATCAGCATCTGATAGCTGTTGAGGGTACGGTTCGTGATCGGGATAGTCAACGGGTAGAAATGGGCTGTTGGGCTAGCCAAGAGCGTACAATTAATTCTCAGCAAGCTATTGCCCGTAGTCTTAGTCAACCAAGTAGTTTGAACACCGAGAAGAGATTAAAAACTTCTCATAACCAATCTACAACCTGGCGTGGTTGGGCTTCTGAAGACCATCATACCACCACAACATGCCAATTGGTTGGTCGATCTTGTCAAACAGCTCAAGCAGCGGTGCGTCTTAACGATCGACAGAAAACATATGTCGATGCCGATGTGGCTGAATTTGGAAATGCTCATGAGACGTGTGCCGTCATGCTGAAGAATACCGGAGGAGTTTACGGAACAACGTCAGCTAACTTAGCTGAAACAGTGACAGGTGGGTCATCCGCTGCTGCCTTCACAAGCAACAGCGCTTTGTCTTCTTCTTCTTCCTCTTTCTTCAATTCATTCGCATCCTCTCAAAGTCAATTTTCTTCTGAATCCCTTTACTCAGCGCGATTAGATAAAAACTGGCATTTACCTTGCTTTCGAACAATGTTGCCGGCGACGGCTGATACGCGCGTAACTTTGCCCCAAGCGGCCACAACCAGCTCTGCCTCTTTCCACCTGAAATCCCTTTCTGAGCACCACCGACGTCAACCGGAAGAGACGTTCCAGCAAGAGCTTCGTCTTCGTAGACGTGAGCAACTTTCTGAAACGACTGTCTGGCTTGTCTTCCGTCAACAATTGGCTAATTATCAAAGAGCACGATTACTAATTGAAACAGACGAACGACTGTATTCGAAATCGGAATACAGAGAAATGTCAAAAACTAGCTTGAGCAGAAGCAGTAGCAGCACAATGACAACTCAAACTATGTTCGAGACAAAAGGACAGCAAACAGATTATCAAGATGAGATGAAACTCAATGAAGACTATCAGATGTATCAAAGTCAAGAGCAGTATCAGCAGCATCAGCAGTTGCAGCAAACCAGCCATCATCAAGGTGAGTATCTCTTAGCTATTCCAACCCATAAACCATATAAATCACTCTTTCGCATGTTTTACATAATACATTACACTTCGCTTAATGGTACTCAAAGATAACAAGTCTTAAGCTTCCAAGCTTCTCTTTTCCCATGACAGAAGTTGAAGTCTCGACTTCTGTTAACAGCTTAAGCTTTTGCTTTTTGACTCATTTCGAAACAAGGTGAGAGAAGTGTGAGATTGTGAGTGAGTATAGTTGTCGACAAACATCCTCCTCCCCCGCTATCCCCGTTAAGTATCCACCTACGGTATACTATCGTATCGTAAAACGTGAGTAGTAAACGAGGCACAGTATGCAAGTGAGTTATCATGAGAATGATGACAAGTCTTTTCTTACAGATGTACATGAAGGACAGATCATAATAGATCTGAGTGATAATGTGGAGATGATTTCTATCGGTAGCCTACTGACTCGCTACTGCTGAGTCACAGTCCTCTTAGTTCATAACAACCAATTTAGTTTCAAATAATAGAAATCATTTCCATATTAGCACAGCCATTGAGTTCATTAACTATATAGATAAGTTAACTATGATTAAGCTTCAAGTTCTCAACTTGAGCTTATCCTCACCCCCTCAATCCCCAAAAATTCTTTTTTTTTCTCTCATTTACGCCTACTTAGTTCTTTTCTTTTGCAGAAAAAACAATTCAAACAACTCAAATTAGCAAATATCAAATGAAATCAAATGAATCAAATGAAAGTAATGATTACGTACAAGATGTTCAAAGCTCAATCAATCAACCTCAACCTCAATCTTCATCAACACCTTCAATCAATGATGTAGCCGTTGAAATTCTACAAATCGACAATTCCATTCATGCTGAACGAACCAATCAAACACGATCATCAATTCCAAGAGAAGAATGTGCTCTCAAAGCTCAACAATCGCAAGAAGAATCTACACATACATTCATTTCATCCGATTCGTCATGTCAAGGTGTGAGACGAACACTCCAACTCAAAAACCTTTCCTATGACTCAAAATCCATGGATGCCTCCCAAGACGCCCACTCTCACGATGAGTTCCAACTTACTCAACGAGATGGTGCTAACAGTTCTGACCGAGTCATTCCTTTGACTTCCAAAGATTCAACCAACAGCAGCTTCGCCATCTCAGAAGGAGAATTATCCACTTCCTTCACTCATCCAAACCAAGCTGGCTCCAGTTCTTCTGATCTGGTTGA